TATATATACATACATACATGCAGTTTTACCCCGCTTAACGCGCTTTCACTTAACGCGTTTTATCATATACGCGGTGCCTTGCCAAAGCTGAACTTTCACTTAACGCGGGTTTTTCCACAGCTACGCGGTGAGTGTCCGGCTCGGATGCTATTTTTAGATTTTGACCACGCGCCACGCGCCACCCACCCGCCCTCCTGCCTGCCTGCCTCTCCCTCCTCCTCCCTCCGCTTGGGTAAGCGGCGCGGTAAGGTTGCGCAGTGTGTGTCTTTGTTGCGTTATCACTGACGTCATATGACGTCTCGGACTGTGATTGGCCATGCAGCCCTACCCCCCTCTGCTGCTAGCTGTAATTGGCTTAAAGTATTATGACGTGACTACCCCGGGGAGGGAGGGAGGGAGGAGAGACGACGCTTGACCTAGCCGCGGCAGTTTCATCCCTCAAGGCCACGCCGGGTTAACGCGCATCCATTGTTCCGTAAAATGGCTTCCGCCGGACCACCACCCCCAGAGAGAAACCTTTCCTTACCTGGACCCAGCGGCACTAAACCAAAGAAGACACGACGTTCATTAAGCTACGAGCTGAAGTACCAAATTGTTCAAGATTTGGAGAAAGGAAGACGCCAAGTTGATCTCGCGCGCCAGCATGGCGTCAACGAATCTACGATTCGTACAATAAAGAAGGATGCAGCCAAGATAAAGGAGCACATGAAGATCACAAAGTCTGCAGGTGCTTCATCTATCAGGTATTGCCAGAACAGGGTGCTGGCAAAAGTGGAAACTTTGCTGGTGAGTTATTTGGTGCGTCAGGCGCGACGCAACATGGCGGTGGACACGCGCTCAGTGCAGGAGTACGCACGTGAGCTATACGCAGCAGTGACACGTAAACTGGGAATTGCAGAGCCCAAACCCTTCAATGCTTCCCATGGTTGGCTGCATAGGTTTAAGAGGAGGAACAAGGTCACCAACATCAGCATTGTTGGTGAGGAAGCGAGTGCTGACCGTGCGGCGGCTAGAGATTTTCCTCCGTTTTTACGTGAGATTATGGAGGAAGGACAGTACAGTGACGACCAGGTGTTTAACATGGACGAATCTGGTCTTTTCTGGAAAAAGTTACCTTCCAAGACCTTCGTTGTCCAGTCTGCGAGCAAGGTAAGGGGCCGGAAGATGCAGAAGGAACGCATCACCGTCCTGTTTACCACCAATGCCTCCGGTACCTGTAAACCAAAGTTATCGGTGATTCACAAAGCCCGCAAGCCGCACGCCTACAAGAATATGGACATGAACAAGCTTAATGTCCACTGGCTAACCGCATGTAAGGCGTGGATGTCCTCTTCTCTGTCCCTCTTCTGGTTTGACAACTGTTTTGTTCCTGACGTGCAGAAATTCTGCGAGCAACAGAATGTTCCTTTCAATATTTTGTTGCTCCTTGACAACGCACCTGGACACTCGCCCCTACTTATGGATCGTCACCCCAACGTAAAAGTGGTCTTCCATCCTCCCAACACTACGTCATTAATCCAGCCCATGGACCAGGAGTTAATCTGCAATGTTAAAGCTGCATACTCGGCAAAGAAATTCAAGCTCCTGAACGACTCTACCAACACCAAGGATGAGTTGCGTAAGCTGGGTGACACCGACAGCGAGAGTAAAAGCGACGAGGACAAGGAACAAGAGGCGGCGACTCAAGAACTTCTCGTCAAACAATTTTGGAAGAAGTTTAACGTCAAACAAGCTGTAGACTTCTTGGTGGAGGCATGGAATCTGCTGTCTATTGCTACGATTCGTCACGCATGGAGACATGTGTTGCATGGCATACCAGGTGAGAGGAGGAGTGAACCTGTGACTGGTCAGGTTCAGACTGTTGCAGTAGCAGTGGACCTTGCCAGAGAAGCTGCGCTCAGTATTACAGCTGAAGGCTTCTCCGAGACCACCAACGAAGACATCATGGAGGTGATCAGAGATCCTGAAGTGACTGCCGACGAGATGTTGGAAGAAGAACCCGCCAGTGAAGAGGAGGAAGAAGGTGCGTCATTCTCCGAAGAACCTAGTTTAAGTCATAGTGATATTAAGTGTGTCATAGAGTTAACAGAAAAAATTAAGTCCATCGTTTCCCGCGACACTGACGATGAACGCCATGACGTCTTCCATACCCGACTGGTGCAGGCTATGGAGCCGTACATCACGGTGTATCATGACAACATCAAAGCCAGCCGTCAGCAAAGCATAACCGAGTTCTTCGCCCGCAACCCACCACAGCCAGCCCAAGCCAGTGATAGTGATAGTGAAGTTGATTTTGAGGGATTTGTCAGGGAAGCCATAACAACTGTAAGTGACAGTGATATTGATTCACCTAGTAATGGTGATTCACCTAGTAATGGTGATTCACCTGAGGGGCAGTAATCTGCCCTCTGCCTCGGAACCAGCCTCCATCCCCGTATGCCGACCCATCTCTTCTACTACCGTGAGTGTTCCTCAAAAATTTTCGTTTTTAACCTATTCTTTATTTTTCCTATGTTAACCTTTATCTTTCCTAACCTAACCTCTTTTATATTACTTGTTTTTCATGCCACCATAAAGTTAAGATAGAATTTTTACTACAACATAGTTACAGTCTACGCGGAAGGTTAAGGCACACCATGGGGAAAAAATAAAAAAAATCATGGTTAGGCAATAAAAAAATGAAAATAACACTCACCCGCCCCTCTTAGTATTTTGTTGTGTTTCCCTTCCTCTTCAGCACCTCTTTCAGTCGTTGTGGAACACTGTCTGCAAGGTTTTGCAGGTGCTGTGGGGTGAAATTGGCCCACAGTTGCTTAATTGCTGTGGTGAGCTTGGGGACGGACGAGGTGTCGAGGTCACGTAGGCGACGTTTCATGAGCCCCCAAAGGTTCTCAATAGGGTTGATGTCGGGGGAACTGCCAGGCCAGTCCTTAAAATATGAAACCTGGCAATCCTCCAACCACTGAGTAACCGACTTGGCTGTGTGGCAGGGAGCACCGTCCTGCATGAACACGACGGCGCGTGTTTTCTCAAACGAGTCAGGCAGAACGTCACAGAGAAGCTCGAGGTACACACCCTGGTTAACTTTAATGTTTTTTTCAAGCACAACCAACTCACCAACACCATAATAAGTGAAACAACCCCATACCATCACTGAATCAGGATGCTTGACCGTCTTGACGGTGTACCTGGGGTCGAGCGGGTCAGAGTCTGGCCGGCGGTACACCCTATCGTGACCACAACCACTCACTGTAAACGTGGCTTCATCACTCCAAAGGACGTTCCTCCAATCCTGAAGGGACCAAACACTGTACTTCTTTGCAAAAGTGATCCTCTTCTTCTTCTGGGCAGCAGTCAGCAGGGGCTTACGGCGTGGGCGGTAGGCGCGATAACCGAGATCGTCATGAAGAAGCTGCTGCACCGACCTTAAGGAGACGTGACCAAGGAGTCCGGGGTTAGCTTGCTTTAATTCCCGGGCCGTGAGCTTAGGATTAGCATTAACTTGCCTAGCAATCACCTTCCTGGTTCTAGGAGACGTAAGCCGTGGTCGCCCAGACTTGGGTTTAGGGGTAGGCAACTCTTCCTGGTTGTTTGCCTCAAACTCCGAGATGAATCGGTACACTGACCGGCGGCACACACCGGTTAATTCAACTATTTCAGTAACTTTATGATTAGCCTTGTATAAACCAATCACCTGTGCAATATCCTCACGCTTAGTAACTCTCCTGGACATCTTAAAGACCCAGAAATCACACGATAAAGCACTGTAACTCAGGCGTAAAATCACGACACGTGGCGCTCACATGGGTACAATAACCTCCACCCACGCAACTTAAACAAAGACTGAGCGGTTGCCGATATGTGACAGCTGTCGCCTAAGGGTTCCAGATGCCGCTAGAATTGTGACTAAATATTTCTGATCAAAATTTATCCCTATCTTGAGGGTAAAACGATTTGTGCTAAAAGTAAAGTCACAGCCCAATTTGTGCCTTAACCTTCCGCCAGAGACTGTATTTGTCGTCAAAAAGTGGAGTTTGGGGGTCGGGCTGGGTTCTATTGGAATTAATCCCATATGTTCTGTTATTCACTTAACGCGGGACCCTCTGGGTTCAATTGACCGCGTTAAGTGGGGTACAACTGTATAACCTTGAGGGTAGGGGCCCCAAGTTGATCTGTGCCTCAGGCTCCTATTAAGTTTAATCCGGCCCTGATCTTCTGTTCAGATCACTAGATTCACCCTGAAAGTAGTTTTAAATGTACACTAACATTAAAACTTAAAATTATTGGCATGTAAACTGCAATAACAAAAACATATAAATGGCAAAAATTAAAGAATAAAAAGAACAAAATGGTAAAACTCAGTGTACACACTGCATCACAGTCTATGGGACACTAACCTTAGCAACCAACCCACCCACCTGAGGATGTTGCCTGGCCTGCAGCCCTAGCAACAGTGCTCTGTGCCATGGACCCCCTGACCTCCACATGCTAGCACACGGCTTCACAGCCGAAACTAGTAGATACTTAAAATGTTATCATAATTATATCTTATTTTTTTCTTTACTTTCTGCATGTAGTATTGTGTGCACATGTAACTGATTAAAAAAGGAAGAAAATTACATTTATCTTCCCAAATTACAAATTGAAAAATATCCATAATATGTACTGTATATCACAGGTGGGGAGTGGTTGGAAATTTCTCCGCTCAATCCAGGAATTACTTGCTCATTTTAATACACCTGTAATTCATTCCAGAACATAACCATTTTTTGGAGAGTTCTAGATACCAGGATGACAGATAAGTGGTCCCATACCTGTACTGTATAACTAAATGCAGGTAGTAGTGTAACCAGAACAAAGGGAAGTAGATGAAAGATAGTTACTCAATTTTCAGGAATCGTTAAGACAGTAGTCTTTTACTTTTGTTTATGTACAAAGATTATGTAATGTTTTAATTTTCCTGAAGGCTGAAGTGATGACTACAAGAATTTTTATTTCAGGCTGAAGAGCTACTTATTAGCCAGAAGTTGGACAAGGAATATTTGCCTATCTCTGGTAATGCAGAATTCTGCAAAAAGTCTATAGGCCTTGCTATTGGTGATGACAACTCAGCCCTGGCTGACGGACTGGTGAGTAGTGTTGAGAATCACTGGCAACAATTGGTAAATTAGTTATTTTAATATACTGTACTGTATACTGTACAGGTTAACAAGGAAATGTTATATGTATCTAAGAAAGCTGCTTTTTTCATTATGCAATTTTTTGTTTATACGTATACCTGTAGTTAAACCTTTTTGATAGTTCTGTATGCAAGAATTGGAAAGTCAAGCTTCTCCATAGCTAAGATTAAGAAAACTGAAGGATAAATTTTGCCTTAACCTGTAACTATGAGGCTTTACAACATGTAGTTATGCAGTAGTAGATAATGAACAATGACACTATAACAAAACACAGCGGTGCTAAACATACACTTTTTCTAATTCATTTGTAATGTAATAATGAAACAATGGTAAGTGGGGACCCTGTTCTAACCTAGAGCTTCTAATTTAGTAGTTTTGATCCTAATGATGATGTTTTCATGGCTGTCTTATTTTCACAGAATGTGACTGTTCAGGGAATTTCTGGTACTGGTGCACTGCGAATTGGTTCCACTTTTCTGTCTAAGTTTTTCCCTGGCCCAAAGGTAAAATCATCCTGTAAAACTATCTGTTAAGGAACTGTCATACATTAATCAGGTTGTTATATGAGGCGTCTAGCGTAGGAATGATGAACTCGCCAAATCATAGTTTTGAGTTAACGCACGTCAGAGTTTTAGAATTGTAAAATCACAGCGCCATACAAAAACAACCGGGAGTAGAGATGAACTCGCCACTTCCTGACATCACAGTTGGAAAGATATAAACCTGGAAAATTCCGAAACCATAGAAAACGGATTTTTGGTGGACTGGCGAGTTCGTCCCTCCTACGCTAGACGCCTCATGTCTAATCAAGTAAAACTAAAGTGCAGTATCTTTAAAAGTACAGTATGCACTAATGACATGGTTTGTTATGCATAACTTCAGTTGTGACATTAAAAAATCTGTAAGTATTTGTTAACACATATTACTGTAAAGGTAAATAAACAACTGTATATTAATGTAATAATCACATTAATTTTCTTAATACTGTATACAATTACTGGAAATAGATTTAACAAATATATTACAGTAATAGTACAAGTACTGTATGTGATTTTATAGACTGTGTGGCTGCCGGCACCAACCTGGGGTAATCATGTACCCATCTTCAAACATGTTAACATGGACGTCCAACAGTACCGGTATTATGACCCCAAGACCTGTGGCTTCAACTTTTCTGGCGCTTTGGAAGATATTTCGGTTGGTAAATCTAACCTGTATTTTTATCAAAATTGATTGGTTGAAATAAAAAAAAAATACTGTATATAATTTTGTCATCCACAAGATGATTGTTGATAGTGCACAGTAAAGATGAATTGTATATGTAAGTGACTAGATGTAAGAATGGATGGAGATTAGTTTTATGGAGAATGTTGTTCGTGGGTATAATTAGTTTTGAAGTATTTAAGTTCTGTGCAAGTTTTCTGTGAGTGTGAATTGAGGATATATTAATTAATTTTAGTTTCTTATGCCTCTTCTGACAACAGTTCCATTTCATTTAGTTGGAATTGAAGTGTGGGCTGACTAGTTATAATGGGCCCTAGTTATAATGGTTAGTTTGAATACTATTAGGACCAGGGCTCAATTGATTTAGGGTCAATGTTAGGTTGTGAGAAGAAAACAAAATTGCGTAAACTATTGATGTTTAATACAGTGTGTTTGATTTGCAGAAAATCCCTGAAGGTGGCTTGATCATGCTTCATGCCTGTGCTCATAACCCAACTGGTGTTGATCCCAAACAAGAACAGTGGGATGAGATGAGCAAAGTCATAAAGGACAGGAAACTTCTACCATTCTTTGACATGGCTTACCAGGTTAGGATTATAGTTATTATTCATTTTTGTAGAAACTTCTTGACAAAATGTAGACAAGTACTGTATCCCATAAGTTAACTGTAGGATAGTGAGACTTCCCAAAAGCTGTAGCAGAACTTTTACCTGTATTCAGTATCTTCTGAGGAAGGATTTTTTCAAGTTGAGTTTGGGGGTGATATAACCACATACAGTACTTTATGACAGAAGACTACCAGAGTCCAAAACTAATATAATATTACTCTGCAGTGTTTTCAGTTCTTTTATCAATGGCAATGATCAAGCATAACAGATTTTGCTTTTAATTAAAACAAATCTTTTAAACCTATGATTTGTGAAGAAAAGGGAAAACATTTAGACATGCAAGTTTGAATAACAACGATTAAATTTTAGTGATTTAATATACAGTAAGATCTCATATTTCACGATTTTTAATTTTGCGAGCACTGCCTCATGTAACCAAGTCTTATATTTGGCATAAAATATCATGAATTTTGCGAGATCCAGCAAGCTGAACACGAGATCCAGCAAGCTGAATGCTGGCCACTGTCTTGAATGGTGTCACAACCCTCATACCAGTTAGTCATTTCTGTTACAACGGGTGTTTTGTCAGTGCGAATTGGTTGCAACGCGATTGATGAATAGGGGAACGCTGTTTGTAAAATGCGAAATTTTGCATACGAATGTTGGCTATAACAGGATTCCATCCTCAACGTTTTAAGCGTGGCGCGGGGTTATGCAAGGTTTCCCGTTCACGTTTGACATCACATGTTCAATTGATTCATGTCTCGTCTCCTCGTGTGTTTTAATATTCCACGTAGTATTAATGAATTGTATTGTTCATTTTGCACACACAAACGTTAATTCAATAAAAAAAATCGGAAACATAATTAAAATATATATGAACGGTAAATAAGTGTTGCTTTCATATTCTTATGTAGAGAAATGACGATATGTTTTCACATGTGTGCACTTACATACGCGATCTCACTTTTTTCTTTACCATTATCGTTAGCTACTTCTATTGTTTCATTTATTAACATTAAATAACATTACTTACACCAACCATAATAATTTTACTACAGCTACAACCAAGGTCTTATTTTCTTCAGTTTTATATGTAGAACCAGTCAGTCACTGATTTTGTAAACAACAAAAACAAAGCCATCTTGTCTCCTCGTGTGTTTTAATATTCTACGTATTATTAATGAATTGTATTGCTCATTTTGCACACATAAACATTAATTCAATCAAAAAGACATTCAGTAATAAACAATAATGAATCCTTTGTACATAAGAGAAATGACGCTGTTTGCATGATTGTGCACGTCTGAACATTGGTGAGCTGTTGAAACCCGTCGAAATTCGAGTTTCCGCCGTCAAGATTTTTAATTGTTTTGTTTTTTGTGTGTGTTCCAATAAAAAACGTTGAATTAAAAACTCGCGAAATTTGAAAAGCTACTGTATGACATTTAACCCTTCAATATGTCTTCAAAGAGACCATGAAGCAGAGAAAGTGGTGCTAGTGCTTCCAAACGTAAGCACAAGTCACTATCTATCCAGGAAAACGGTGAATTTCCATGGTCCGGCACCGGTCAGGTCCCGAGGTTGCCGGACTAGAGAGGTACAACCTGTATATGTATAATCTATTTTACATTAATTATTTCAGGGAGTGAAAAGTACAGGAATGAAAATACTGAAGTGAAAATAAAGTATGCCTGGATAATTCGCAGAATTTTATTTCGTGGTCCTCTATTATTCGCGGATGACACCCTTGTTGTACCCAAGAATGTCTGCGGATAGTTTTAAAGTTGCCGGCGTTTTTGTTGCTGGGACAGGGAGATATTTGTTCTAGACCGTAATTTCCTTTTTCTGTACAGTCGGCCCTTAACATACGCGGGGGTTAGGTAACAGAGATACCCGTGAATGTTAAAAATCTGTGTACTTTTGCTGCCCCCCTCCCCCCTAAAAAACCCCTGGCCCCCCATGTCCTTATTTACCGTATATACCTGTGTGTAGTTCGAGTTTTTAAGACCAAATTATTTGGCAAAAAATTGGGGGTCGACCTCTAAACGGGTAATAGTTTCGTTAGGTTGAAAAATATTTTCCGGTAACTACCAGTAAACAATGGAAACGACGCACCAACGCACCACCAGCTGTGAGTGTCGGTACAGTTGCCAGGGCAGATCTCTTGCGTCATGATAGCAAGCCCAAAGTGGCCAAATGCATGGTATGGTATGCACAGGACGATGTAAAACAAAGTATTCATTTTTTAAAGTTTATTTATAGATACTGTACATAAATTTTTTTTCATTACATTTGAAACATCAATCTTTGTTAATTAAATTTGAAACAAAAGAAAACTACAATACCGTATTTTCATTAAAATATTACATCACAAGTATATTTTACCTTAACTGTGACTGAATGAATATATTCTCAGAAATAAATATGGAATGTAATATTTTTGCTGAAATGACGTACGTATTACAGTGGAAAGTGGGATAAAATCATAACAAAAGCAATGACTTTCGATTTCTTTCGTTCTTCAAAAGATTTTACCGTGGAACAAACCTGTACTGTACATGTACTAAATGATTACGGTACTTAAATTGTTATGTCTATTGCAAATATAGATTGTTTATACAGGTATTCAAATAAATCACTATCTTACAAGAATCCCAGCAATGTAAGTTATATTCACCCAGGTCGTTTGGGTGGCAAATTATGGGAAGAGCTTAGTCACTCTTAAGTAATGATAAATAAACAGTAGGCCTTCAGCGCCAACTGTCACATCTTATCTCAAATAAATAAAAAACACCACACTCTGTCACCTCACCTCCACCCCCCGTTCCCCCCCATGCTCGCTGGCTACCTCCCTCCTTGTGTTCCCAGACAAAAGATTGGTGATAACTTTATTCTTTAAGGTGTTTATTTTATATAATAATCTCAGACTAAAGTTAGGAGATTATAATTTGCATTGCTGGAATCCTTGCAAGACAGCCAATAATTTGAATATAAACGTCATATATTTTGCTCAAGAGATAAAAATTGTTGTACATTAGTGTATAGTACTGGTTTTCAGTGAAAAAACTATTGTATTACAATAATATTCCCTCCTAATTGACTTGAATAAATACTTGAATGGAAATATACAATATTTTTGTTGAAACTACCCGCGTTTCGGTGTAAAGTGTCAATAATAGATGGTAAACAATTTGCCTTCGGCACTCTGTGTTTCAGGCACGGCGAGCCTCAGGTTATAGGACGTAGAGTGTTTTTACTGAAGGTTTTGTTGTTCCAGTACCCTCAAAAACTTGGGTCGACCTATAAACAAGGAATATCATATATTAATGATTTTTTGGTAAAAAAATCAGGGTCGACCTACAATGCTGATGTCAACACAAGCGTGGTTACAGCGAGACTGACTGACGTGTGTGTGTGTGTGTGTGTGTGTGTGTGTGTGTGTGTGTGTGTGTGTGTGTGCATGCGATTTGAATGTACTTCAATGTACAGAATATTCCTCCGGCGGGGCAACCCGCATATTTGCGAATCTGTGTATGCTAAACCCGCGTATGTGAAGGGCCGACTGTACTGTATTGTATATGTGTGTGTGTTGACAGACACATACATATACAGAAAACACGTACAAATAAATAATATTGGGAAAATCCTCTCACAAATAATCAGAAACAAAAGTATATGTTGGGCCCAGAAACCGAAAAGCGACCACAACGCGTTGTGGTTGTTTTCAAAATAACCAGACAGCTAAATTTTGCATTTGGAATTTACTCTAACCTAACCTAAACCAATCCAAACTAACCTGACCTAACCCAGTCCGAACTAACCCAACTTACCCAATCCAAACTAACCTAACCTATAGCAATATCTCACTTCTGGTTATTTTCCAAACAACCACAACACAGTATGGTTGCTTTTCAGTTTCTGAGCCCAACATATATTTAAAATGTTGAGTCTACCCTCAACTCCACTCCGTGCTTTGTTATTAATAAAGCACGGAGTAGACTCGACATTTTTAAAATACAGTACTGTACTACATTTGTTTCTGATTACTATTTGTGAGAGGATTTTCCCATTATTATTTATTTGTATGTGTTTTGTGTGTGTGTTATACAATACAGGTATAAGAAATAATTGTCCTAAGGGAAAATACATTTCTTTGTGCACAAGTAAAAATGTACCCCCACTCTGGTAAGCAAATGTTATTTGCAGATTTGACGATTCGTAGCCATTTTGAGAATCTAACCCCTGCGAATTTGAAGGGCATGCTGTACTGGGAGTGAGATTATGCACCCAGAAACTTTTCTCCATCGTAATAAAACACTGTACACAAAACATCATGGGCAATGTTGTTAGGAGTTTCCTCTACATGTGGCTCTTCTTTCATGGTGCTGTTTTAAGGGCCTCATAGATGTTCACATAATATATATTTTCTATATATTATTTTATCATATAAACATTGTGGAAAAGAAACTGAAACTTTTAGTCTTTTAAAAATTACTAAGTAATAAATGTTACAGGGTTTTGCTTCTGGTGATGTAGCCAAGGATGCATATGCTGTCCGGAAATTCTTGGCAGATGGGCATAAAATCTGCCTCTCTCAGTCCTTCTCGAAGAACATGGGGTTGTATGGTAAGTACTTGACCTGGAGTGATTTCTCTGTTTAGCCATTCTAAATATGATCCATTTTATTTATTTTTTTAATATGCACTGTACAGGTGTATAAGTGCACTAGTTCTGTTCTCGATAGTGCCCAAAGATATGTTTGTGTATATGGACTTACATTTTACAGCACTTAAATTGCTGAATACAGTATCCAAGAATTACTCAAGCTGTGTTGATACTGACATAGAACTTTGTCATCATCAGCAGCTTTTTATGGCCCTTTTTCACACTTGTGTAAGTTAGCTGTTAATACCTGCTGGCAGCTCTCCATGGTTTATTGCAGCCACTATTAACAGGATTTTATTGTTTATATCATTTTGTAACCCCTCTCCCCATGTTATTCTTGGCCTACCCCTAACTAGATTCTCTTTCACATATACTGTACTGTAAACTCTTGACCCAATTAGTCTCTACTCTCTCCACATGCCCAAACCATCTCAACGTACTTCTACTCAAAATGACACGAATACAGTGCAGTACTCTTAATACCCAACTGACCTCTTAGATGTGCACATAGTTATGTCTTTCAGTGTAATATCACATATCTACATCACCATTGTCATTTCAACCGATTCAAGCCTGAGTATGTCATCCTCTTTAACCTTCCGTGTTTTACTGCCATACATCTTACTTCTTATGCCAGTTGCATACATCTTTCTTTTCACACGAACAGAATGGTTGAAAGCAATAGTGGTTATCAAAGCTAATAAGAATTTTGAAAGTATACATCAGTGAGTTTTACTTTCTTGGTTCATCAAATGTTTTAGAAACATTATGCATGAAAATTTTTTACCACATTTTCTCTATATGAAGCTATAAAGCTAATTAATGTTAAGCCACCTTGAGCATAGAAAGTCACTGAATTGAAATTCAAAGCGGACACTGTCTTAGTTGCACTTATTGTATTACTGTGGAAATGTCTTGAATTTAGTAAGGAAGCGGGCATTGGCTTTAAAGTCATTGGTTTTATATTGAAAAATTCTGCTGGCTGTCTTCATTTTTAGTGGTGTGACTCATTGTACGAGTTACTGTAAATCATTATTTTTTTTGTGTATGAATTAGCATGCAGTAATTTTATATAAAATGCAGTCACCTGTCAATGATTAAAAGACCCCAGTGCAATTATGAACATCATTGTTTCTTTTTCTAGCCTGATATATTTCCACTGTTCATTTCCTTATCAGTGGAAGTTAACGAATAAAAGATGTTTGTGACTGCATTAGTTTGTTCTTCACAGTTGAACTTAGATCCCTCGAAATAAGTCGTTTCAATATATGTAACCTTTTATTTCATAGGTGAGAGAGCTGGTGCTTTCACAATTATCTGCAATGACAAGGATGAGGCAGCTCGTGTCTTGTCTCAGGTGAAGATTTTGATCCGGCCTCTGTACTCCAACCCTCCACTCCATGGGTCTCGCATTGTGGCAACTATTCTTAATAATCCCGATTTACAGTAAGTTTAAACACTGTTCCTTGTTTATATTATTTCATACCTTATTTGATACATTATAAAATAATCAAAAGGGAAATGTTGTATTTATGCTTATTAAAAGAACTTGCAGTATTTGTTTGTTGGTAGCAGTAGATTTCAAGATGTTAAGTAATATTTGTATGCAAGAAATATTTAGTTGTACAATTGAACCGGTCTTGAGATGAGGATGTATTCAGGGAGTCCCCACTTATTATCATGTATGTATTCCTGAAAAGTGTGACTTTGAACAAATCAAACACTAAAGGAATGCATTGTCCCATAAAATGTAAAAGAGGGTTATTAGGATCTTGGGAAATTTTTTCCACCTGATAAAGAGGTGAAAAATTAAGGTTAAACAAATAATTTAATGCTTATGAATGAAGGTTGCTCGAGGAGATTAAGTCAGGAGGAGGAAGTGTGTAGACCCTTTTCCTCTGTCTCGGCATTAATGCTGACCTCTTCAGCCAATTGAACATTCTCTTGATTGGTTTGCGGATTCTCCCATTTCTGTGTACAAAAAAAAGCCAATGATTGTTGCACGCCTCTTTTTCTTCTCGATGTAGTTACTCGTAGCACTTCAGAATCTCCTCGTTTTCCCTCATCACTTTGTAATTCCAGTACCTTTTACGGTCATCGTCCTGGAAAATTTTTAATCCACCTCCAGTCATCTGAAGTTTTTGAGTCAAGTTTTAAAATGCTTTCAGGTCAACACATCCTGATCATAACTTCCCCCATACACCATTCATACACTCCTGGGTTATCTCAGCCCATGACTGACCAATAATGATACATTTAAGGATATAAAATGTGCCAGAATTCTCTCACTGATTTGAAGATTGATGTAATAAGCCTTAAAGGTTGCAAGTCTCCTTGGTTGGTTCATGGGTTGTAGGAGTGAAGTTATATTGGGGGAGGAATACAACTTTAATGTTATCACACTGTCACTGAGGATGACATCAAGGTTTTTCTTGGCACAGTAATCCTTCCAGGCAGGAATGGGATAGAGTGAGCTGTTCAGAGAAAATAGCTCCAGTAAATCTAGGAATTCTTGTTAGCGTGCTGTATGACAGGTAAATGCAGGTAAATGTTCTATAGAATGCCCTGAGTGTTCATGGTGTGTCTGAGTTATACACAGCCACTATTTTTACTTTATTTAATGCAGCATTAGCTCTAAGAAGCAATGTTAGATGATCCTTTGCTGCCTTAAAACCTGGTGTTGAGTTTTCCTCAGTTGAAAAGTTGATTTGCTCAGGAATATGTTTCCAGAAATCCTGTTTCATTCACGTTAAAACCTTGCTTTACAGAATGACCACATCAACACAATTTTATGGCCATTTTCCATGCTTGTATCGGTTAACTATGATTGTCTGATGGCACAGTGTCCCCTGTTGCTGTCAGGAAAAAATTTAATAAGTTTAATTGCTGAATGTCCTTATCACCAACTCGATTTTACATTAAGAACTGGGAATTACAGTACAGCATGCACTTCAAATTTGCGGGGGTTAGGGTTTCAAAATGGCAGTGAATAGCGTTTGCTGACCAGGGGAAGGGGGTACATTTTTGCTTGTGTTCAAAGAAATGTTTATTCCCTCTGTGTTTGCCCTTAGGACAATTATTTCTTTTACCTGTGTTGTATATGTGTGCGGGTGTGTACACACAAACACGCTATAAGAACAGCCCAGTTCCAACCATTATAAAACTTATCAACAACTCGTAATCAACCAGTGTATGTATTCACTCCCAGCCAAATCTTACCTTTCTGCACTGTCACTGTTGAAATGCCCTGTAGTATTTCCTTCTCTTTCTTCTTAATGTAACGGACAGTGGATTCGTTAATGCCATACTCCTGGCCACACGCGGCAAAGCTTTGGCCACTCCCAAGTTTGTCCAGCAGTTGTATCTTTTCCACGAGGGTCATGACCTTTTCTCTCTTCACTTGTTTGGGTGCCTTCCCGCAGCTGGATGAAGGTAGTTGAGGGTGTTTGGGAGCCGTCACAAGCACAAGGAACAGTTGTTACGAGAGCAAAGTAGCACACGCGCGAGACAGATAAGTGTTTATCCTGAACTGAGGCGGAGGGAGTGGGGGCACGCAAGGACCAGCCTCCCAGGACAAGAGATACACCTTGTGGGATGCCACAGAACTCACAGGCTCCCCATACCCGCTGCGAAAACGCCGGAAATTTTAAAACTACCCACAAACTTTCTTGGGTATATCCAGGGTGTCATCCGCGAATAATAGGTGACTACGAAATAAAAATGCGCGAATTATCCAGGCATGCTGTTTAATAGTATAGGACTTCCAAGTGCCCTAAAGTGGAGTGAGCAAGGCAATGTTGCTTCTCATTGAGGTAAGCAAAGACTACCTGCCTACCTTCATTGATTTGCTTAAGCTTCTCAGGGAATCCACTCACATTATACTTTATGACCAGGTTTCAGTCTTTTAAATGTTTGTTCCACTCATTTAAACACAATTTTTTAAACAAACTGCCATCAAACGCAGGAATCAGGTCACCTGAATGTGAGAAAAAGTTTACCGAGTGGACATATTCTGCATGGATCATTCATTTGGAAGATTTTTCACTTATTAACCATTAACAGTCGGTGATAAATGTAAAGCAATTACCATTGACCATGGTGAAAAAGAGGGCACAAAAAAGTTCGTCTCTTAGTGGATATACTTAAGTGTCAAAAAGGTGGAAAGCTAAGCTGAAGTTGGCCAGTATTTGGGAGTTAACCATTCCAATATCACAACTGTGGTAAAAGATAAAGTAGTTCCGATATACTAGTCATCCATTGGACGAAAGGTAATGTGCTTATTTCATTAATTCTTAATTATTTTATTCTTTTATTCATATACCATATTATTATATTTATAATATCAATCTATTCATATGTGTTTTGATAACTGTATTTATTTGTTTTTATCTTAAAAAATGGTTGTCTTGTGTTTGGGGACCAATTAATTGTACAGTATTGTATTTTTAATGGGATTTATTGTCCTAGTTTATGAACCCATTTTCAGAAACATTAAGTTCATTAAATAGGGACTACCTGCACATATATTAAATAAAAAAAATTTTCTCAGTGCACTGTGGTTGGAGGATGTTAAAGGCATGGCTGATCGCATCATCTCAATGCGTAGTAAACTGAGGTCAAATCTTGCCAAAGAGGGCTCAGTGAGAGACTGGACTCACATCACAGAACAGATTGGCATGTTTTGTTTTACTGGAATGACACCTGATCAGGTAATTACATGCAAATGTTTTTTTTTTTTTGTATCATTTGAATTTTTTTTTATTAATAGGAATATTTGCTGCTACTGTACTTAAAAAAACCCCCTCAAATTAGTGTAAATTGCATGTTAAAATAATTCCATCATAAATATTGTCTTACTTTAATCAGTGTATATAAACTATCTTGCCTGATCCAACTTCCTTGCATTAATATTTGTTACTTTTACAGGTTGCGAAGCTGACGAAGGAGTTCTCTGTGTATTTGACCAAAGATGGCCGCATATCTGTTGCAGGTATTGCTTCCAGTAATGTGGAATATCTTGCTCATGCAATGCACCAAGTGACCAAGTAATGTGCTAGTTCTAAGTTCACTTGTTTTAGAGTATTATAAAGAGAAAAATTAAGACATTTACTACAGAATGAGTTTCTTCAGTATTTGCAAAATGGCAGTAAAAATACATGGCAGATTACAGCCATATTAATAAGAAGCAGGATCACTAAATGGTAGTTAACAATTGCATTATCATTGGTCAATGAGAAGTAATGTTTGCCCAATGTTCCATAAAATCTGTTACAATGGAGTCTTGTCCCAGTTCATAAAAGACCAGTCTTTGCCTCCTTCACTCCTCTTGGTTACTGTTGCACATGCTTGTTTGATAATTTTTCACAGCCTCTACACTTCCTAATTATAACTATGATATTATACCGTTGAATGTCAATAAACAGCTTCATGAACTTGATTGAATTCTTGAGATTTTGCTTATGGAAAAAGATGAGCATGAAGTTCCTGTTATGTGGATGTTTTTTGTTAATGCTGTTACTAGAATTTTTTTTTAAGTCAACCCAGGAATTGTATTGAGAACTCAACAAGAGTATTTTTTAAAATCACAAACATGTTAAGCATAATGACACCACTGGTTTATATATGCACACACCTAGCAAAAAACTAATATAATGTATTTGTATGAAATACTGTATAGGCGAGCTAAATAGAATCATTTTGGATCAGAAAAATGTAACCTAGAATATTGTTTTTGAACTTGTATATAGTTGTTGATATACTGTACTCTAGTACAACCTAATAGCAATCAACCCTACAGTCACACATATGGGACCTAATGTGAAATTTTTTAATTTATTCCAAAATAGAATGAATTTAACATTGAATTCAGTATATTTATTTCTGTATATATCAGATGTAATTCTTTAATTACAGAAGATACTCCCTGTAATTAAAAGTACATAATAAAGTCCCACTTAAAGAAACCTTGTCATTTACCCTTAACGTGTTCTGTTCCATTAGTGATGGTGACAAATAATTCTCCATCAAGGTGTTAAAATGATTGTGCAGTGTGGCAATCTTGCATACAGTATTAAGACATTTTAAATTAATTTCAACATGTCCAAAATGCAATACAGTACTCCCATTACTTTTTAGGTCAACACATCACATCTTGAATTTCACTCCAAGACAAATACTATGCCATAATTCACACAATCATTCCACAACAATCTGAACTTGGATGCTTCACTCATTAACACTGACAATAATTCCACATGTGAATATCCCTGCACTTTCACTTGAAGCGGAGCTTGTCCTGGACACAGTTTTCCCACAAACAATACAGTGACCCCTCGTTTAACGAACGCCTCGGTTAACGAACTGCTTTCCATAAGGATCTTCAATTCGGTTAACGAACAAAAATTCGGTCAACGAATTTCTTACGAACCGACCTCAACATGTTTTCGCTTGCACTGACCGGGCAACCAGCTTAAGTATCAGTCCGCCAATACATTAATCGGTTCTAGGGCTTAAATTCCTTACTATTTTAGTAAATATCAAGAAGTTTATACTATTCAATAATTTTAAAAGTTTAATATTCAATTTTTTAGTCATTTTAACAATTATTGAACATAATTGAAGGTAAAGTGACTAGTTTAATGCACGGCATCCAGCCTCTTAACACAGCAAACAGGCGTTAGTCTCTCTCTGTTTTCACTGGAGGTAACATCTTGCTTGAGACTCTTCAACTAAATGCTTTTTTCTGTGTTTCCAAGCAAATTATTGGTCATTTTGAAATATATTTTACATATTGACAATATATAATGCAGTGCAGTGTTGATTTAAAGAAAATAATCTTGAATTACACCAAGAGAGCTAAAATTTTATGGGTGAAATGGCGCCATGGGGTGACTTCTCTTCCACCCCAATGCCTTCTCTTCTTCCTTCTCCTCCACCCCCATTCTAAATACCATCATCATCATCCAGGAGCCTTCTACATATACACCTCAAAGTAAGTGAACTTTTCTACCATTTTTGTTGAATTTAGGAAATTTTCGGTGAGCTGGAACCAATTACCCAAAAACTCATTGAAACAATGGTTTCGGTTAACGAAAGACCTTCTGGAACGGATTGAGTTCGTTAAATGAGGGGTCACTGTACTAGCCTTAAAATTTTGAGGAAAAAAATATGTTGCTACTCATAGGGTGCATCTTCCTTTGCTGGTTATTAAATCAATTCAATGTATAGGGTATCTGAAATTATGAAGTAAATAACACATTTATATACATCTTTTTATTTATTTTTTTCAAATAAAATGTCATGCAATACAAATATAGTAAGCACACCTAATATTCCCTTTTGTCATGATGAATATCAAGGAATTTATTTTTCGTCAGCAAATGAAATTGCTGGTTCAGAAAATACATGTAAATCTGGATCATACAATTCCTCGTCGATTTCTTGTTCATCCTGAAATAATGTTGGAAATGGAGGATGGTTTTCTGCAGTGTATTTCCGAGTAGGAAGAAAAGAGTCGTAAATGTACACATAAGAACCAGTTGACCCTGGGATGGCAGGACCACTAACCCACAGAACATTGTAGTGTGTGTTGATGCGCCATACCTGTAAAAGCACACCACAAATGAGAGAAAAGTTTAATTACAATGGGTGACATGACACTACATCAGGTCAGGTCAGGTCAGTAACATGACCCACTAATCCCCAATAGCAAGTGTTAAGACGTGATTACAGTTTTATATTACATTCAGCTGAGTGGACAGTGTCTGCCTACTCTAGGATCAAGACAACAGCATCTATTGGTGAGTATAGTATAATACTGTGGTGTATAGCGAGTTTTTTCTCAGCTGAGAATAGATGCCCCACCCCCTCCTCAAGAGTTACAGCTGATTGGCTGTTGCAATCCGTCCAATTTTTGTCCAAGTAATGATGTACAGTGTATTCCTAAATGAGTTTTATTTATAATCGTTGGAATGACTGTTCCTGACGAGAAAGATATTCAGCTAAATTATATAAAGATACATACATTCATTATTTCAAACATAAACACGTAGGAAGTTTATCAGAAGTATTACACATGAATTACGGTAACTGTTAAACTCTGATAGCAAATTCACGCTTTCGGAGGATGCATTTAATATATACTTATTTTTACCCACAATAAGGCATACTAAAACAAATTACATATCAGTATTACTACATTACGTAAAAACAAAACTTTTAAAGATCAGAATCACATTGAAATATTACACGACCATTAGCAGAGGCGGGAAAAATATGAAGTTGTTCGCAGTCATATTTCCCGTCTGTTTACTGTCTGGTAAGATGTAGGGGGAAGGAGGGAGGTGAGGTGATATGTTTGACAGTTGATGCCAAGGTCTAGTACTTATTTATGTATCTGTCCTTAAGAGTGACTTTTAAGTTTTTTTTCTTATAAAATGTCACTCAACGGACATGGGAGAATATAATCAACATTGCTGGAATTCTCATGAGATAGTGATTAATTTGAATATAAACATGCTATAGCTTGCATGAGACATACAAAGAGCAAATTTTTTATCTTTTGTGCAAAATATATGACGTTTATATTCAAATTATCCGCTGTCTTGCAAGGATGTCAGCAATACAAGTTATATATTAACTTTAGTCTGTGACATTGTATAAGATAAAAACGTTAAACCTAAAACACCAAACACGGGTGGGGGGTGACATTATACAGTTGACAATCCCTTATCCGAAATCCTTGGGGCCAGAGGCATTTCGGATTTCGGAATTTTTTGGTTTTCAGATTTTTTTTTTTAACCCCACCCGGGCATAGATCACTGACCCACATCGGGGCCTGGGGGGGGGGGAGAATATAATAATAATAATAATAATAATTCATAGATCTAGGTCGTGTTTCTCACTTTCGATCTTTTTTTCATTCTTGTATTTCTTTATTATTATATTACAATATTATTATTATTATTATTAATTTTATTTTTATATTTTATTATTGTTGTTGTCATTATTATTTTATTTTGGTGTACAATATTTTAATTAAAAATCTTATTTACTATGAATAATTATTATTATTATTATTAATATTATAATTATTATTACCATTACATTTTCGCCCACCAGGCCCCAATGTGGGTCAGTGATCTATGCCCGGGTGGGCTAATCCCTGTTTATTAAAAAAAAAAAAAACTTTCGGTTTCCAGAGTTTTTCGGATAAAGGGTTGTCAACCTGTATAAGATAAAAACTTTAAGCCTAAAACACCAAACACTGGCAGGGAAGATTGGGGGTGTGTGTGTGTGTGTGACAGTGACATGTTTGACAGTTGGCATCGAAGGTCTAGTGAAGTATTTATTTGTTTATTTATGTCCTTTAGCTTGAATTTATGTTTTTTGCTTATAAAACGTCACAGAAGTGACCGGGGAGAATATAATTTACATTGCTGGAATTCTTATAAGATAGTGATTAATTTGAATATATATACATGGTATGGTTTGCACTAGACAAAAATTTTAATAATCATTTAGTACATGTACAGTACAGCTTTGCCCTTAGGACAGTGTAGCGTGCCCAGAGAAACATTAGGCGCAAAATTTTAAATATGATGCGCCAGATTGACTCGAGCAAAATAGGAAAGATTCACTTTAAATTAAAACATTATCCTTAATTGTGGGTGTCGCTTTAAATCAATAATCTTAAATAGACGTTCTACTGTAGTATACATTATTTTGCTTACAGTATTAAAAATATATTGTATGTGTACAGTGGTGTCTGCGTAAATAAATACAGAGTGGAAAATTCCACTGTCTACTCTGTGACACAACTTCATTCACAGCACACACCCGTATCAAAGATTTTTTGTTATTTAAAATATATTTATTTTACCAAGGTTTTGGATAAACTATTCAAGATTATTTGGGTAAAAAAAATGGTATTTCCAACTTAAAAACTGATTTTAATGACTCCAGTATCAACGTTTCTTAATATAAAAGAATTGAGTCCCATCATTATAGTGTTGAAATATTTTCTTTAATGATATTTTATTGGAAAAGTCTTGTTGAGAATTTATTTAGGGTCATTATAGTATCAAATTCATCTCTCAACACAATTAGAACATGCTCTGAATATGAATAAAAGTTCATCCACTTTTTTGCTAGGGTATAGGTGCAGGCAGTTTTTCCCCCAAGGGTTGCCTGTCCTCCCCCCCTCGCTGCCTCTCTCACTCCTTTGACTATGACTGTTATTCATGATACAATAATGTACAATACATTGTTTATTTGTTATTCATTGGATTATGCAGTTCAGTTTTGGTCACCATACTACAGAATGGATATTGAATCTCTAGAAAGCATTCAGAGGAGGATGACGAGACTAATCCTGGGCATTAGGAACCTTGAGTACAGACATAGATTATAGCATCTGAATTTGCACTCCCTTGAGAGATGTAGAGTGAGGGGCAATATGATCAAGGTGCATAAATGGAAGCCAGGGTTTCACAAAGGTATGTAAATTATTCAACCAGGAGCGAACTCGTAACAATAGTTTTAAATTAGACAAATTTAGATTTAGGCATGAGATGGGTAAACACTGGTTTGGAAATAGATGAGTGGAACAAGTTACAGAACACCCGGGGTAGCTTCAAATATAAGTTGGACAAATACTGTATATGAACAGTAGGGGATGGGTGTAAACGGGACTGCCTAGTATGGGCCAATAGACCCGTCAGTTTCCTCTACTCTTATGTTCTTATTAATTAGTAAAGATACATTACTGTAATAATGTGTTTATTAATACCTGTACAATACCCTTCATATAAAATAGGTAAAAAATATTGTCATTAGGAATGTATCTCCTTATATGCCCAAATTCATTTCTCTAACACAATCAGAGCAGATGTTGTGAATAAAAGTTTATACTCTTTTTGCTCACTGCAAATATATTTGCTAGCAGCCTCGTGTCTCAAAGACGAAAGCTAAGGTATTGTTGAGACATCTTCAGGTCATGAGACCCACTTGTCCCCACCCAAACAATGGGTGACCTGACATTGCATCAGGTCAGTAATATGAGACCACCAATCCCTCCACCTGACATTGCATAAGGTCAGGTCAGTAACATGAGACCCACTAATTCTCCACCCCACCAACAGTGGTGTTTTTATAAATTAATACAGCTTTGTGCAAGTGGAAAATTCCAGTCTTCAGTGTGACAAAGCTTCATTCACGTGGTACCTCGCACGCTCATATACAGATTTTTAGTTTTTTTAATTATTTATTTAACCAAACTTTTAGATAAACTATTCAAGATTATAAAAAAAAATAGTTTCTAACTTATTTAAAATACTTTTACAGAATCTCGTATCAACAGTTTTTACGTTTTTTCATAAAAGAATCTAGTCTATCATTATACAGTGTCAAAATATTTTGTTAAGGATTTTTTATTTGAAACCTCTTGTAGAGAATGTATTCAGGATCATTATGGTATGTTCAACCCCAAAACAATTAGAACAGATGCTGCAAATAAAAGTTTATATACTTTTTTCGCTAGCTGTAAATATTTTCACTCGAGCCTGTGGTCTAAATGCAATGGAAGAGTGTTTGCCCATGATATGTGTAGTTTAGAGATGAGATGCTTAATTTAGACTCTCGGGAAAACTTTCGCCAGACACATTCTGGGGATGTGGGCTACAGGTGTCTGTGCAAGATGCATAGTTTAGACTCAAGGAAACTTTCCCCAGTGTTTGGAAAATTTCCGGTGATGTGGGATTTTTCCGTGTTTGAAAGAGTCCTCTCGTTCCCCAGAAATCTCTTTCCTGGAAGAGCTCTGTACCCATTGTTCTGGCAAACAGGGATATCACTAAATTCAACAATACAGTAAGTCTGCTTTACCTTAAGGCCTTTGAGTATTCTTCTTTCTCTGCCCATGTGCCCGGGCATTTTCTGGCCAGGCAGCACTCGAGCCTTCTCACCACCACTACCAATAGTTCCTCCTCGCCGGTGACTCTTAGTTACTCCATGTGAGGCTGGCATTCCTTTGAAACCCCATCTCTTCATTACACCCTGGAATCCTCGGTCAATCCTGTCAAAATCAGAGTACTGTATAGCTAATGTGTCAATAGAACTCTATACATATCCAAAGCCTTGTACTGTAGTTAAACTGATAACCTTCATCTGACTCAATACAGTATATCACTTAAAACAAAATCACTTTGCTCCAAACTATATGGTTCTAAAATAAAAGAAAAAAAAAATCTTGCATTTCAAAGTCATAACAAATCATCCACATTTGTGCAAGACCTTCCACACTTTACTGGCCAGGGAAACAGCTAAGAGTAAATTAGATTACTATTCTTCCTGCTCTGAACAATTTGTTAACAAGAGTACATGATGTGATGCCCTTCCGATAATGTACTATCTAGATTTTACTAATTTCTTTATATTATTTTGTAAATTGTAATGTATGATCCAATGATATGAACATTTTTTTAATCTTACACACCTTTTCCAACTATGGAGCTGGACAGGCACAGTTTTTGTCACCACAAATAATGTACAATTTGAGGGATAAGCGTATCACCCTCACAAACTTTTTGCTTACTAATTGTTGTAACTAATATACTGCATGTGTCACTTCAACTGCCCACTTTTTGAAATAAAACTAAGACCCCTCTAAGTTGCAAACACCCATACATCGAACAAGTTCTGGCTTAGGGGTGTTATGTAGGGTGGCAGTTGGGTGAGGTGTCAAATCCAGAGTGTTTGTTGTTGCTCTGTTGTGCAATGTTTTTTTTTGGGGGTATTTAATGCTTCCCTAGTGTATTATTATGGTTTCTAAAGCAAGTACTGTTGAAAATCACTCAGAACTACTGGGAGAAAAGGAATGGTGTTCAGAGCTACCAACTGAAGAGAAAATGAAGACATGAGAAAAAATCTTTGTTGGGGTCTCCATGAATGTTATCTGTGAGGAGTTTGGGCTTTAGTGGAGTGCTTTTTATGACATCAGCTATACTTAAGTACTTACAAAATACAAGTAACACTTTAATATAAGTGTAAATTACATAATGGAAGTGCAAGCAGCCCCCCATCATCCTCCACCTCAAGATTCATCTGCTACAATAAAAGTAAGTGCAGTGTAAATGTTTACAGTACTGTTAACTTTAATTTTGTTTTTGGAAGGGACTTTCCAGGTAAATGATGGTTGAAAGCATCCAGGGAGGAGGTTATGCATAATTCGGAATTCCACTTAAGTTGGAAAGCCTCAAGTCCCATATTGTCTGACTTAGAGAGGTTTTGGCACAGCTAAACCTCTCTCGTTCACACACCTTTGGGACCGGCTGTTTGGTGAATATGTGAATTTTGAGAACTATAGCGAGTTCTAACATGAGTGCAATGGACCATGAAAAAACAATACCAGGAAAAGGCAATACCTGTACAGGGGGTCCCTGGATTACGAATGGGTTCCGTTCTTGTACAGTGAGTTCTGCTATAACGCGTGTTTTGATAACGCGAATTTGCTCTAACGCGATTTATGAATTAGGAACGATATTTGTATAACGCGAACGCTTGTTTGCTATAATGCGATTTTTGCTTACTATTTCTCCAATTTTGTGGTACGTATTAACTGTGAATATAGTAAAGAAGAATATCAACAAGAAGCGTTCTGGTGATAGAATTCCCGTTGATGATCGTAAAAGAAAGGATATAACACTTGAAGAGAAGCTCGATTTTATCAACCTCAAAATCACCCTTCTCCCCCATCAAGTAAAGTGTTACATTTACTGTATGATTTCATTATTAGATATGAAGGTAATATTTATTTAGACTGTGCTATCCTTTGTGTTAGGCTAACTACTAAATTTTTTCGATTTCGAGTAATCTGCACCTAACCCTATTTTCTCCATAAGCCCTGTTATTTCTATTTCGCGATTTTCTATAACACGATATTTTACAAGAACACAATTATCGCGTTATAGCAGAACTACCTGTACTTATGTTTGGACCTAAAGATCTTGTACTTATGTTTGGACCTAAAGATCTTGTACTTATGTTTGGACCTAAAGATCTTGTACTTATGTTTGGACCTAAAGACCATAATCACAAATTAAACCATCTAAATGAATGTAAACCTTGCCCACATAACAGGCATACTGCTGTAGTACAGTATGATTGATACTGATAAAAATACAAACTTACGTGACACCAGCAACATCAACATAATTCCCAGGTCGGAAATGAGAAGCATACAGCGGAGTGCCTGGAGCTAACTTTGCATTGGGTGTGATGAGAAATTTACTTAGTTTCTTTTTAGGAAGAATTCCTGTTTCAGAAAACAAACTGAAGAACTCCTTTGTGACCTGAAATTAAGACTAAATATAAATAACTATTCACATGTACAGTAAATGGACACAAGTGTGTCGCTGTATATATAGTACTCTAATAGATACATATTCTGACCACTGTCTAGCTTTTTTTGTGAAGTTCAGATTTTCCTTTAGTTCCAGGCAGGTTATGTAAAGGAGCAGCTTAACTGAGTAAAACTGTACACAAATAGCCATACTGTACTATTGCTGAAATGTAGTTTCCCTTATATGTAGTGAGGTGTTTTACAAAAAAAAATTAGAATACATTTTATCACAAAACTTTACCAAATGGGAAAAAATCTATTAACTGAAAAAGTACAAAACATGATCACAATGCACAATGATGACTGAGACAAACTGTCTGATTTTCAACTCCTCATTACACTAAAGTTTGTGAAGTGATAGGTAAGTCAAGATGGGGGGAAAAAAAGGACACAGGATTTTCCATGAGTTTAACCATTAAGACAGCTGAAGGGGTTGTCCTTCCACTAGTAGCAGCCATTAGCTTTTTTACCACACACCTAGAGAAGCTATTTCCTGCAATCTATCACCCATAATTACACAACTGCAGCTTAAAAAATTATGTTCTAACAAAATGGTTAAATTTACACATGCAAAGTCCTTACTGAATTTTATTGTAGTGACACTAACAAGTGGACATGATGGCACATGAACTTTGTAATATCCTTAATGACCCATAAGAAAATAAGGTAAACACATGTTTCAATGATTTCTAGAAACAACATTGCACAATACAGGTTGTACCTCTCTAGTCCGGCATTCTGTGGTCTGGAAACTCCCGTGGACCGGAACGATTTTAGTTTGTCCAATAGGTAGATAGGCAGCTTTTTTTTTTTTTTTTTTTATCTGAATTATTATTACAGGAGTATTAAATTTTTGCCCCTCAGGCCCCAATGTGGGTCAGTGACCTATGCCCGGGTGGGCTAATCCCCTTAAAAAAAAAAAAGCCGCGGGAAATTAAGGTTTGTTTACATCCGGCAGTTCGGCTGCTCTCTCTCTCTCTCTCTGCTTGTCTATACAGAGTACAACATTTAACCCTTCAATATATATGAGCAGTAAATAAGTGTTGCTTTCATATTCTTATGTAGAGTAATGACGATATATTTTCACATGTGCGCACTTACATACGAGCAGTCTCACTTTTTTTTACCATTAATGGTTAGCTACTTATATTGTTCCATTTATTAACATTAAATAACATTACAGGTACTTCAAACAACCATATTCATTTTTTTACATTAATTTTACTACAGCTAAACTCAGGGTCTTATTTTCTTCAGTTTTATATGTAGAACCAATCAGTCACTGGTTTCGTAAGCTTTAACATAAACAATGCCGGCAGCCGTCTCGTCTCCTCTAATATTCCACGTATTATTAATAAATTGTATTGTTAATTTTGCACACACGTACATTAATTCAATAAAAACAAATTCAGAAACATTAATTAAAATATATATGAACAGTAAATAAGTGTTGCTTTCATATTCTTATGTAAAGTAATGATGATATGTTTTCACGTGTGCGCATGCGCACTTACATATGCGATCTCTCTTTTTCTTTACCATTATCGTTAGCTACTTCTATTGTTCCATTTATTAACATTAAATAACATTACTTAAAACAACCATATTAATTTTACTACAGCTACAACCAAGGTCTTATTTTCTTCAGTTTTATATGTAGAACCAGTCAGTCACTGGTTTTGTAATCAACGAATACAATGCTGTGTCATTTCCTCGTGTGTTTTAATATTCTACGTATTATTAATGAATTGTATTGCTCATTTTGCACACATAAACATTAATTCAATAAAAAAGACATTCAGTAGTAAACAATAATGAATCTTTTGTACATAAGAGAAATGACGCTGTTTACACGATTATGCACGTCTTCTGCACGTTGGCGGGCCGTTCAAACCCGTCGAAATTCAAGTTTCCGCCGTCAAAATTTATTTATTTATTTTTTTGTGTTCCAATAAAATACGTTAAGAATTAAAAACTCGCGAAATTTGAGAAGCTACTATACGACATTTAACCCTTCAATATGTCGTCAAAGAGACCATGATGCATAGAAAGTGGTGCTAGTGCTTCCAGGCTTAAGCACAAGTCACTATCTATCCAGGAAAAGGGTGAATTTCCATGGTCCGGCACCGGTCAGGTCCCGAGGTTGCCGGACTAGAGAGGTACAACCTGTAGTAGTTATAGAAAGCAGTAATTTTGCTAACATTATCCAATGCTGTGACACACAAGTCATTCAGCTGTGCAGTAGAGATAATTATACTGTACAACTTTTACTGTATTGGAAGAACACAAGAAAATATTGTGGTATTTTACCATCCTGGGATCTGCTGCATCAGCCCCAACAATTAATGCAGCAGTTGGTCTAAGTCTGTTGGCTTTCTTCTCAGTCTCCATTAAGTCTTCTGGTGGTATGTATTTAATCACATGGTTGTCTGTTACCTGGAAGAGATATGACCTGCCATTAATGTGGAATGGATTATTTACATTGGTAAACAGTGTGACATGGAAAGGGTTTGCCCAAAATTTATAAAATTCAATTAAATTTTAATTTCCTGGCAGGTATTTCCCTGGACTTATAGCATGACAGTGTTTCTGAACAAGAAAGGCCACACCTAGTCAGTTTAGCTGGGTTGTTTTGGGAATGTGGAATGCTTATCACTGCATTATGTTGCTTTAAAAACATTAAAATTAATTTATTATATACAGTACTGTACGTTGTACTATCGTGCACAAAAGTCGTGTCCACTACCCAGCCAGTGAGGTTTCGAATAGCCTTGAGTCTGAAGTTTCGAAACAGCTGGGGGAAATGCTTTGGTCGGCCAACAGATGTCGCCCACTGTATTGTGTGTGCGTGTGTGGGGTTAGTCAAGTAACAGGCTGTGTGTAGGTGGAGCATAACATTGTGAATTCCACAAACACTGATAACAATAAGAATGTCATGAAGATACAGTCAACCCTCACTTTACGCGGTTAATGTAACCCACAGGGTACCACGGAAAGTGAGAAACGCGTAAAGTGAATAACAGAAATACAGTCGCCAAGCTAATGTCCATTCAAATAATGGACTCAACTCCCTCCCCCTCTTCTCACACTACACTCGCTGGCTCTTCCCTCTTGAGAAATTTTGGGGGGAAAACCAGGTATAGTAATAAATAATACCTCAAACTAAAGTTAGGATAATATAATTGACATTGCTGGATTCCTTGTAAGACCAGGAATATTTTGAATATAAATGTCATATATTTTTCACAAAAGATAAGATATTTACTCAGACTAAACATTATATCTAAAAATTTTATGTCTTATGCAAAATATATGATGTTTATATTCAAAATGATCATCAAATTGTAAGAATTCCAGAAATGTAAATTATATTCTGGCCGGGTAATTTGTATGAATTTTATGAGCTAAAATAAAAATCTTCAGTTAATAAAAAAAAAATATTCTTCACACGGTAACAGATGGTCGGTCGCCGGTCCCTCCCTCCCACCCCCCACCAACGTCCCTACTAGATAAATGTGTGGGAATACCAGACTGTTTACCTTTTTAGTAATAAATAATAAATCAGACTAAAGTTAGGATAATATAATTGACATTGCTGGATTCCTTGTAAGACCAGGAATATTTTGAATATAAATATCATATATTTTGCACAAAAGATAACATATTTACTCAAGAGTAAACATTATATCTAAAATTTGTATGTCTAATGCAAAATCTATGATGTTTATATTCAAAATGATCATCAAATTGTAAGAATTCCAGCAATGTAAATTATATTCTGGCCGGATAATTTGTATGAATTTTATGAGCTAAATAAAAAAATTATACTTCACCGTGTAAAGGGGTACACCCACCGCGGAATGTGAGCATCCTGGGTTCTGGCAGGGCACCGCGTTAACGTGGAAACGCGGAATGTGGGACCGCGTAAAGTGAGGGTTGACTGTATATAATATTATTAAGCATGGCGAGACATGTGTAACGGGTAAATAAAAGCACTACAATGACCATATCTCTGCCGTTCATGGCTACGACGGTGAGACTGATGGGCACACCAGTAATTAATTCTCCGTGACTACCAGTAATGGTAGTAATGGAGAATACACAAGTTGTTACCAAGGTTGGCGCCACCCACACCAGGGGAAGGAGGTGATATCGTACACTGAAACATGCCGAGGTCTCATTCCTACCATCGTCGTCACCAACAGGTAAGTCACATTAATTTGTCAGCATAGCCCATGTCGTCCTTATACTATTGCAGGGTGTCCCATGAGTGACAGCAGATATTTGTAGAGGTGAAAGAATATGTGATATTGAGTTGAAAATCTTCTATACACATAAGCATTATTCGGTTTACTTTAGGCGTGAGGTGGGTTGTAAAAATTACGCAGGGCAAAAATTTTGCCATGTTATATTTTATTTTTCTTACCAATTGCAGCCATACTGTGTGCTGTTGTAATCCTTATTGGTGGATTACATAAGGCCTATTAATAGCGTGAAAACCCGTTTGAAGATACTGTAATGTTCCATGACTTATATTAAACAACATCATACGTTCACGAGTTTCAACTCCGCGCCTAGCCTCCCCCCCTGCCTCTACCCACCCTACTATTAAACCTCATAATTTGAGCATCGTGGGTTACCACACCTAAACACACTCCCCCTCCACCATCCCCCCTCCTCCCTCCCCCACCTCCTCCCTTCATCCCTCCCCCAAGACTAACGTCAATCGAACATTCCATCCCATCACATTACCTTCCCCTGCATTCCCCAACCCCCTTCCCCCTATTTTACCGATGGGGACGAATTGGACAACTGTAATGAACACTCACAGAACCGACGACATGGCTCCTCCCCCTTGTATTTAGAGTTACTGGTAGTGTTGTGATAGCACCGAGTATGAACTTATTTAAGACCAGACTTGACCATCACTGGCGTAAGTTTAGATACATTCCAGAACCAGTGAATATTCTTTGTAAAAAAATAAATTTTAAATGAATTATTTATAGGAGATAAGTATGTCATAGCTGAAAATTGTCAAAGAAATATGTAAAGCAGTGGAAAACCATATATTTTGATTATCGGCGAGGCTAACTACCTATAAACAATTAATATTTGACGATTGGCAAAAGTCCTGGGAAAATGAACCAACAAGTCATAAGCTAAAAATGATCAAATCATCAGTTTATCCTTGGTCACCATCAAAACAATCCTCTCGACATCACGAAACTATTCTGAATCGTCTAAGAATTGGGCATACGCGATTGACGCATGGCCAACTCATGTCTTCCCCTAATGGAGCCCCACCTATATGCTCCAACTGCCGAACACAAATAACAGTCCAACATATTCTCATTGAATGCCCTATTTATAATCGGTATCGAACAATGTGCTTCACTAACCCTACAATGTAAGATATTTTAGCAGAGACCCCAAAATTTTCCCTAAGTTCAGTTTTGACCTTTTTGAAATACTGTAATCTCCTCCAAACAATATAACACTAAATTATAGAAACACAAATATATGTTAACTAATCCCTCTGGCCAGCCCTAGGAGAGACTCAAATGGGTGTCAGTGGTCTGGTTAAACTAAATCTTGATGATGATGATGATTATCGGCGAATGTTCACTCTACAGTCGCAGGGGTGGTGGTGGAGGAGGTTTGGGGGAGGGGGGGGGGGAGGATCCACTTGCAGTTCACTATGAATACATGAAATAGGAAGGGTTTCTTGGGCAGTTGATCCAAAAAGATTTACCAAAACGTTATGTCAGAGTAATAATACTTAACCTAGGTGTTACTAATACCATTAATTTACTCTAGTATATAAAAGCCTGCATCAGTTACCACAACATAATATTACTCTGCCATTTCAGATATGCCTGCAGGACGAGCAAATTCGTCGGCAGTGATTGCTGAGCGAGGCCAAATCATCGGGATGTGGAGAGCCGGGGCAACTGTGCCGAACATTGCTCTCGAAGTGGGGAGGAGCACCAAGACGATTAGGAGGTGGATCCGCCGGTGGGAGGAAGAGGGCTCAGTGGAGACGAAACCTCGAAGCGGGAGGCCACGAGTAACGTCGACAAGGATGGACGCCATGATCGTGGCAGCTGCAACGGCATATCCAATGTGAACATCAGTGGAGCATACAAGAAATCTGGGCCTCAACTGCCATCACATGACGACGAGACGCCGATTTCATGAAGCCGGGATCGACTGCCATATTCCAGCTCACAAAGGGTGGCTAACACCTACTCACAAAGAGTGTCGACTCGGCTTTGCATTGGAGCATCTTCCACATAGAGAAGAATACTGGAGAACCATTATATTTACCGATGAAACGGTGTTCAGGTCAGTGGGAGCCGAAGCAAGGCAGTGCTGGCGGCCTCCCAGAGAAACACATTCAACATTGCGCAGTGAGTGGTATGGTGTCAGTGTCATTCTGGGGGTGGATGTGGGCACATGGGCCAGGTGAACTGGTCAAGATCAATGGCCTTTTCACTGGTGAGCAGTATGTAGACATCCTGGAGCAAGTGCTAATTCCTATAGTCCGGGCTATGGCAGTTTGAGCCCCCCACACTATCAGGCTGGTTCATGACAACAGTCCCATTCATACCAGCAACATAGTGAAGGACTACCTCCAGGATCACCCTGAAATTGAGGTCATCGACTGGCCAACACTAGGATGTGATGTTAATCCGATTGAACATATTTGGGCCATGATGAAACGTGATTCGGATATTGGAGAGCAGCGAACCTGTGCAGCAATAGAGGCCAAAGCTTACGACGTGTGGGAGAGTATATGTCGACGACCAAGGGTGTGCCTGAAGCTGGTCGACTCCATCCCTAATCGCCTTGATGAAGTCCTGGATGGCTGGACCAAATACTAAGATGTGTGTATTGGTGTATTGTTAGGATTTTAGTATTGTTTGTAAATACAATTAATATATATTAACTCACCTAGAGTGTTATCTTAAATCCATGTCCTTAATGATGTCTTAAGCTATATCGCATGAAAATTCATAACAAAGTAACTTAATAGCCACAAATTATGTGTCGTGTGGTATTCAATGATCTGTATGACACGTCGTGGAATATGTTGTCTTGTAACACAATATAATTATATAGTTACAATTGCTACCATCATTGAAATGCTCATGATGTTCAGCACACAATATTAACGGTAACTGAGTACACTCCAAAATATATGAAGCTTGCATATTGTGGTGGGGTGTTTAAACACTGGAACTTGGAAGAATTGGAACTAGATTAAGCCTGAATACTATTTTACAATACTGATAACTTTTTCACTCCACTCTTTTTAACATAAGTATATAATTATATAATATTGCATATTATCACAAATATTTATTAAGCAAAGGATGGGTGGAATATAAATAAATATTACCATAATCTCTTTGTCGGAATAACAACAAAATTGTGACGTGGTCGCTGAGTAAAACTAGCTGACCAAGGCCCTTCACCCTGATCCTTCCATATTTCACTTTTATCCTTAATATATTCCATTATTTAAAGTATCATCGTGACCTGAGCTGCAATAAGCACCCAGGACACTGCACCTGTTCCATGAATTCGTAACCATAAAGAAACAACTGTAAGACAAAATGTAGTTAAAAGGCAGCTTGAAATTATGGTGGTATAAATAAATAAACCTGCCTCTCATCCAGCCCCCACCTCCTCTATCCCCCCCACACACACACACTACAGTGGGCGACATCTGTTGGCTGACCATAGCATTTCGCCCAGCTGTTTCGAAACTTCAGACTCAAGGCTATTCGAAACCTCACTGGCTGGGTAGTGGACACGACTTTTGTGCATGATAGTACAGTACGTCTATAATTAAAGAATACACTGTATGGTACAGTGTATACACACCACCCCCACTGCCTTACATGTTCAGGAATGGGTATCACCACTGGACAACTTTGGAATTATGGTTGGTGTGGTGGAGTAAATCAGTCATTTAGTTAACCCTGGTGGCTTTAGTTTTGGGGTTCTTTTAGCCAAACCTACTAGTCATTTTTAACTGGTGTTGAGTTATAAACTACCACTACAAAACTTTATAAATGAGCTTACTTGTAACAATGTTGTCAATAGCCTCGTCCCATTTTTGGTCCACATTGGATAGATGCCAATCTTTCGTGCAATAACTCCACATCTTATTGATTTTTCGTGCCAAGCACCTCTTTCCCAAGGGTCTGACTTTAGTGGTGAGGAATATTGATCAGCGATGACCTCACTCACATAGGACTCATTCTCAGGAGTCAATTCTTCAGGGTACATCTAGTAAATAACAGTTTAATCATTTACTGACACGAGTAAACGAATTTAAGTTCATTCAAAATTTGTCAACTAACTCATGCATGACATAAATAAATATATAAATACAGAGTTCACAAATTAGCTTTCGATAAATAAAAAAACATAAACTAGGCTGACTTGTCCTTAAAGGAATGTACTGTATTTGTAATAAAACTCACAGAAATCTTATTGCTTACGACTTAAAATATATAACACATTATGAGATGCATTCTCACTGTGTATACCCTTATATGTTAAGTCTTGAGGGCCAGAGTCACCACTTCAAAGCTCTTGGAGTCCCTAATTTTTCTATAAATATTAAAGTCCTTGTTTTACAACATTTAAACCTAATTTTCTTAAATATTAAATTAATGTACAGTATTTAGGAAAACTTGACATACAATGATTATATAACAAGTAGCTTTAATCAATACCAGGTATCTGATATTTACTGGCAACATCAAAAGTAAGATGATTTCATCCCCAAAGCTGAAGCCCAGTCATGGTGTGTTGAATGTGAGCTGTAAGTTATCAAGTTTGATTATTTTTAAACATTTAAGAGTAATTTGCTGCAAAGTGGACTAACTGCTTGTTTCCCACCTGACGAGATAATTATATTTTTCATGAATGCCTTGATACTGTAATATAACTCACATACAAAGGACACTCTGCTTTTAATTCAGTTTGCTCATGATATCAACAGCAAATGCAAAATCCAAGAGTCAATTTACATTATTCAGCTGTGAGAAATTGGAATGTTTTTATTTCATGCCTAAAAACAAACCAATCTCTCCTCTCAATTTCCACATTCGTTTTCAGGACCTTTCTCAAACTAAGTCATCTTACAGTAGTGTGATATAGAACATCCAGGTGTTGAGATTCATATTCCTCAAGCAGTGTTACAAACGGCCTATGGCTTAATCGTCTTGATCAAAATGCAGTTGATAATTTTTGCAACCATGTTCAAAACACTGCTTAGATTTAGAGCATTCTTTCAGATGACCTCTAGGTGGATGAGGCTGTGTGGGAAAACAAAATTCTACTTTTTTTTTTTTTAATTGGGCACCCCCCCTACATCCTATGCAAGGTGAAGTGCAGACACGCTTACAGCTCCCATCTGGGAAGCATGCTAAGTTCATGCTTGACTTTGTCTCATGAGTTAAGGGCATAGAAGCCTGAAGGGTCATAGTTTTTTTTTTTGTCAAGGGCGTAGAAGCCTGAAGAGTCATAGGTTTTTGTCAGTAACTTATTGGAAGCTCCAACAACTTTCCCTGAATACGAATTCGCAACTTTTCGATTTACAACAGGTACCTACTTTACTGCTAGGTGAACACGGACCAAGGGAGGCTAGGAAGTGTGTACAAACAACTTTCCACTGGCCCGGGAATCGAACCCGTGACATCTCGCTTGCGAGGCAAGAGCGGTACCGCTCTACCACAGGCGCCCCCAAAATTTTATTCATAATTTGATTCTCTAACTTGGTCCTTTAATTCTTTTCAGCAACCCAACATTTTCACCCATCAGATTTGGACTTCCATAGGTGGTCACACTCACCATTTTTTCCACTCATAATTTTATGATGCAGTTATTTACTGCCTCCATTAAATCTTCTCCAGTTATCATATCTATCATAACTGCAGAGATGCCAGTTTTTCTGTGAGCTCAAGATTTTGTGGTACAGTACTTTAAATAAAAATGTCTTTGACATCACAACTCTCACAGGGCGCCAGTGTAATATACGTACAGTATTCAAAATTACTTCCACTATTTCTAAACTGCAGAAACGGGTTCTCTGCAATATCCTCGACACATCTCGATAGATAACCTTGACAAATACATTTTCTCAAACTGTTTCTTCTTGTCTGAACAGAAATTAAAGAAAGTCAACAATACTGTACATTCCATAATACACTCCTTCAGAGAACGGATTGCAGTTCTTCATAAATTTGGATGCAGGTACGTACCTCACTCTTGTGATATCATCCTGGGATGCATATTGTTTTGTGAAAATACTCTTCCTTTATATGAATGACAATCACATCAGCCTTTATTTTTCTTCATCTGAAACCTTTATTTCCCTGCATGTTTACTGTACTCTCAAAATGGCAACACGTTATAATTTCTGAGCACTCCCAGTTTCTTTTTTTTTTTTAATATTCTGTATTCACTGTCCACTTTCCTCTTCTTTGATACATGTATTGCCAAATAATCATGCAACGGTTGTGGGTAATATAAATACTGTACTGCATGAAATTAGCAAACTGGCACACATGAAATACACAAGATTGGAAAATGAATATACTGTACAGTACTATATTGTAGTACAGTACTGTATACTGTAATGTCTTGTTCATTGAGAAGCATAGAAGAGAATTATGTTCTAATTAAAATAACCAGTAAGGTGGAGTAAAACAGGTCATTTCAGCAAAAGGATCAGCCATCTATTTGCCATGACTTACTAGGTAAATATTGATTCTTCACTAAGGGTTATCTCAGAAAAAAAGATTAAATTAAGTGTGACCTGTTAATCTGAATTGCACTCTCCCATACAACCCTAAGCTATGGCTTCTGTCAGGTCATGGCGATCATACTAAGTGTGTCGAGCTGGAGCCAGGTCTTGTTGCCCAACTCCACTCCTGTTCAGGACACAATACGTATACAGGATGTATTTTGCCTACACCTGATTTAAGGTGTGGAGAAATATTTATGTAATGGAAATGCAATGGATGGACACTGGGGTCACCAGTGTTGACGTAATGTTAGAATGTTTAAATACTTATATGCCGTATATGCAAGTTAGCTTGGCCATGTGACAAGAAATAGGTTAAAGGAGATTAATAAGATCTTAGTTAACTTACAGTTCTTGTGGTTTTGGGCAGCCAGAATGGTGGCTGACTGTGTCTACGCTTCACTCGTGACATGTTTCGTATCTGTGTTGCAAATGCTAAAGGTCTGGGGGAAAAATGGATTACAATAACCATACTTGCCACAAAAATAAAAATACAGGGTAAAATCATACTACAGTATAGTAGGGTCGGGATATATCGTGACTTTATGTAACGATTTTTTTATATCGTGGCTACCAAAATTATCAAAATTTTCCTGTATACAGCTATAATTTTTTTTATTTCGCGAAGGAAATATTTCAAATGTACCGCCATGGCAAACATGTGCATTATTTGCTCACCAGAGGCGCCACCGTGGTTGCTCACTCACGCATTCACGCTCGCCCGCTCAGTCTTTCTGAGTGAGTGACGAGAAAGCAGCCGACTCTGCTGCAGATTACGACTTCTAAGGTGAGCGTAAATGGGTGGCTAGTGACGTGAAAAGTGAAGTGAAGATAATGGAAAGCTTAATGGAAAACATTTAATACTGTAACCAATATTTTTGGTGTTCATTTATGTAGGTGTGGGATTGTCAAGTGAGGGTGGCAGTGTGGCATCTGCTGCCGAGTCTGGTGTTCCCAGGATGGTGCGTCAGCTGCCGAGTCTGGTGTTCCCAGGATGGTGCGTCAGCTGCCGAGTCTGGTGTTCCTTGATATTGATAATGAAACAGCCTGTTGTTCCCGAGTCTAGTGTTTATTGGTGCTTTAGTTAGTAAGAAAATTAACTCGTTAAGTCAAGTTTAGTCACTTTTTTTGGCCTCCAGAACCTAACCCTATTTTCCCCATTGATTACATGAAATTATATATCGCGATTTAGTATACAACTATAGCGAACATTGTTGGACTCTATCTCGCGATATATCCCGACCCTATTGTACAGTATTAGAAAGATTGCCTTTTCTATCTGTTGTCCAGAAATGCCACAAAACTTCTACTGTAATACATATAACTGTTTTATTACCGGTACTGTACACTATCTTTTGGTTGAATTTTTTCCTCTAATATATACATAATGGGTTTCAATGGGAAAATGTTTTTGCATTACAAAAGTTCATTTTATGGAAAAATTTCAAGAACTTTGTAGATTTAAGATGAAAAAATTGTAAAAGTGGTATTATGTAAAACATGTTCTTCATGCACTTTTTATTATTTTAATGGGGTAAAACAGCTTTTACAGTATTAGTCATACTTGATGACCATGGAGTGCCCTTAGCACCTACTTGAGGAAATTTCCCAACAGAAGATAAAAGCTTTCTTACCTTGAGGAAAAAGATTAAAAGTGAATGAGGGATCTGATTTATGTTATGTAACTTTTTTTATTATAATTATTTATGTCTATAGGTGATGCCGACAAGTTCCCTGTGTCTGCCATTTTTTTCTTATTGAAATCATTCTCAGTGCGTGAGGTTCAAGGAAACTCCTCCTAGTGGGTTTCTTCATTGGCAAGCTCTCTATAGCAGTGTAAATAATGGATGCCCCTTGAAGTCGAGGATGGCTGGCCCTAGGGCCACTTACACGTGAATTTGTTTAATGTGTAGAAGCTGTCGCCAACGCAACAACCACACTCTAAGTTAACGAGTTGCATGACCCAGTGTCAAGAAAACTCGCCAACAGCACTGGCCAACGGGTCCGACTAATTACCCAAGTGTAGCCGCAATGAAGTCAAATAATGGTCCTACATGAATAAATCGGACTGCCAATCACTTCTCGACTGGTATTTGGTGTCACGAAGTCACAAAAAATTGGTAAACTTAATTTAATCTGAGTTAATAGATCGCGTGCATGTACCTAACCTAACCTAACACAACTCAGATTAAATTAAGTTTACCAATTTTTTGTGACTGACACCAAATAATAATCGAGAAGTGATTCCTAGCCCGATTTACGCTTGTAGGACCATCATTTGACTTCTTTGCGACTACATTTGGGTACATTTGGGTAATTCCTCGCTCCCTCGGTACATGCACGCGATCTATTAACTCAGATTAAAGTAAGTTTTCCAATTTTTTGTGACTTTGTGACACCAAATACTAGTCAAGAAGTGATTAGCAGTCCGATTTATTCATGTAGGACCATTATTTGACTTCATTGCAGCTACATTTGGGTACGTTTGGGTACATTTGGGTAATTAGTCGGACCGCTGGCTAACCATTACCCCGGAACACGATCCACAAATCGATTAACATCCAGGTCCCCAATTGTTGCTGGGTAGACAGAGGTAAATGGCGTAAAGAAACTTGCCCATAGTTTCACACTGCCCAAAGATAGACTGGTTTCCTCACCCGAGCGAGCTGGAAGTGTCCTGCCGGGTCAGGTGGCCTAACCTGTTGTACTGCATTTCTCTTACACATAGAAATGATAGATAAATTAGGTTAGGTTAGTGTAGTTTGGTTTCTATTAAAATAAAAATGAAGATAACTGCTTGATTAGAAACATATATGGATGATGTTGGGAACTCGTTGGAGCTGCCTATCAGACGTATAAATAGTTACAGTATATCCGTAGTAGGAAAGGAGGTAAGACTATAATCAATGTTATATGATGCACGTGATCTATTAAGTCAGATTAAATTAAGTTTTCCATTTTTTTTTTTACTTTGTGACACCAAATACTAGTCGAGAAGTGATTGGCAGTCCGATTTATTCATGTAGGACCATTATTTGACTTCATTTGGGTACATTTGGGTAATTAGTCAGACCCCAATTTATAAATTTACCTAATGGCGCACTACGGTTGTCAAGAATTATCCATTTAGCTTTTATGAAGAAATTTCCTAAAGTTGGCATTGTAGTTGAGCATCACAAGAGGTCAAAGAATTATCCAGCATATCCAGATAAACCATTAAGACTGTAACTCACTGTATTGGAACAGGTAACTTCTGACACAAAACAGTTAAACTTGTCATGTGTCTACCATGTATAGCACTCTTCAGTCTGTATAACACCGCCATAACTAATTTAAATAAGAGTTAAATCCTTCAGTTGTGTGTCCTGGCAGACGACCCAGGTGCCGACCAGCTGAGTCAACCAATTACTAAACTCTACCTTTACTACCGCTTATATATTACTGCTTTAATGATGTTCAAAGGGTATTTTCGAAGTTTGGAAAATATAAAAATCCCCGTTTTAACTTTATATTTATAGCTTATCATTATATTTTTATAGTTATAAACCTAATCGAAGTTCAATATTTCCACAGACGGTCATTAACAAACTCATTATTGCCTGTTTGTAATTCATCATTTTTTGCCTATTGAAAAGTATATATTGCGTTCCTTGTTTGGTGATATGACAATGGATTCAATAATATTTATGAATGATTGAATATCTACAAACCAAGATGTCTTTTGTAACTTTAATATAATTTCGCTGTTCAAGAGTGTACACAAACAAGTAGGAAAGATTAAGGAAATACCAAGGAAATATTTGTTTGAGTGTGTCTACTGTCAGGTCAAGTGCATAGCTAGGTAGAAATTATTCGTACACCAGCTTGTGAATTAGTATATCTGCTGAGCTATCCACACTACACTATCACTGCCAGGTTCACCAAGCTGTAGTTTAGTTGAGAGAAACCCATCCACCTTAAAGGTTGGTAATAGATCTAACAACCTCGGGTATTTTTATAGTAGTTCACACAACATTGCTGGTAAAGGTGTAGATATTGGCTACCACCAGAATTTTTTTGGTATTAATGCATTTACACACCGTTCATTCCTACCACTAATCTATTATCATATTCGAATAAGACGTCTAATTATAAGATAATTTTGTTCTATTATATTACCGGCGGAAATGTATAAGAACGGAGATAGCATATACAAAATTTTCTCTATTTTCTTCCATTAATCTTGCTCCATTATCGCCTGTCTCACCTCCAACACTGCGGCCAATCAAAAGCGTTTTTGTTTTTACAACCAATTAAAATGATTTTGGGTTTAATTCACTGTATATTTGGCCCAATCAAATTCGAGTTTTATTTTGGGTCTCATATTTCGAAATTCAAGTTCAGTTCCGACCATGGAAGTCTGCGATGGGTGTCATTTAAATTATATGGAGCTGATTGCGAGCTTTTGGGAAAAAATGAAGAAACTATAAAATTTTTTCGATCGCATGGTGTTCTTCCAACCTCAGTAAAGTGTACTAAGAGCAAGACAATGTAAATATCGCGAAGACCAACATATGTGGCGTTGTGTAAGAATCTCAGAATCCAACGACGAACAAGAACCAGGCCAATAAGGTAAGAAATAGGTGATTCCATCATATGGTGAGAGTCAGTTAGGTTAGGTTAGGTTAGGTTAGGTTAGGTTAGGTTAGGTTAGGTTAGGTTAGGTTTTTGTTTTTCTAGTGTTTTTTTGGTGTATTTTGCCATAATTTTTTTTGGAAAATGTCCAACGAAAAAAAATTGAAAAAAAAAACCCGGCTAATTTCCACCAGAAATGAAGGTCATATTCGGTCTAAACACTCACAAATACACTAGAAAAATATATTTTTGACTTTCTAACAGAGAATGGTGTGACAATGCAAATTTACCATTTATTTTCTTTTCTTTATTTTTGCTGTACTTATTGTTTTGATGGTTTTAAGTATATTAAAAGAAACGACAACTTTCTATTATGATTTTAAGTAATTTTTTTTTTAATTATTTGACTTTCGGACATAGCGCCCCCGAAATTTATAATCTATTGAAACATTTAGATCCCGCTATTTTGGGCATTTTGAACCCCCATATATACCAGGCGGAAAGGGAAAATAGCGACACAATTGAATTTGGCTTATTTTAAGTAGTTTTCAGCCTTCGTCTCTGAGGTGATGTTATCGGCGTATCACGCATGAGCATTGTTGGCTGACATCATCCAGTTGTGACCAATGAGGTATCGATATCATCATGCAAATTTTTTTCGACCACTCACATTTGATTTTTTTAAAGGAAGCAGCCTGGGTACGATTATAATTTAATTTCATTGACCAGTTTCACAATGACTGTGGTGGAGGTTGGTTGTCGTTTGTGCTCCTCCGATTATTTTAAGTTTATTGCCACGTATCCTTACCACCCACGCATCCCCCACGCACCCCCTCCGCCGCACACTGTGATTGGTCTATTTAACCTTGCTCGCCCTGCCACCAGAGCTCTTGACCTTGGCTGCGCCAGTCTCACTGTCCCCGTGTATACTCACTCGTGCCCAAGAACCGGTTTTGTTTTTTCTTTCTACACAATGGCTTCCGCTGGACCCCCACCACCCCTGAGAAACCCTGAACTACCTGGCCCAAGGCGCCCCAAGCCCAAGAAGGTGCAACGCGCCTTAAGCTATGAGGTTAAATACAAGATCATTCAGGAGTTAGAAAAAGGCACGAGGCAGGTGGATCTGGACAGACAATATGGAGTGAATGAATCGACGATCCGCACGATCAAGAAGGATGCCGGCAAAATCAATGAACACATGAACTTTACCAAGTCTATAGGTGCCTCGCTGGTGAAATATTGCCACAATAAGGTGCTGCTGAAGACCGAGAGTTGTTTGGTAAGCTACATTATTCGTCAATCAAGAAGGAACATGGCGGTCGACACTCGGGCAGTGCCGGACTACACGCCCGAGAACTCTGCCCAGCAGTGGCAAGAAAAATAGGAGTTGCAGAGCCCAAGCCCTTCAGTGTTTCTGCTGGGTGGCTGCAAGGTTTTAAACGACGCAACAAGATCACGAATATTGAGATAGTCGGAGAAGGAGCAAGTGCCGACTGGGCTGCCGCCATGAATTTTCCCCCATTTTTACGGAAAATTATGGAGGAAGGACAGTACACCGACGACCAAGTGTTCAATATGGATGAATCAGGGTTGTACTGGAAGAAATTGCCATCCAAGACCTTCATAGTCAAGTCTGCGAGCAAGTGTCGGGGGCGCAAAATGCAGGAGCGCATCACCGTACTGTTCACCTACAATGCCTCCGGCACTGCTAAGCTGAAGTTGTCTGTGATCCACAAAGCCCGCAAGCCGCATGCCTCCAAGAATATGGACATGAGCAAGTTAAATGTCCACTGGCTAACCTCAGGGAAGGTGTGGATGTTCTCTGGTCTGTCCCTCTCCCGTTTTGATAACTGTCTCGTTCCTGATATAAAGAAATTCTGCGTGGAAAATAATGTGCCATTCAACATTTGTTGCTCCTCGACAACGCACCAGGACACTCGCCCCTTTTGCTGGATCGTCACCCCAACGTAAAAGTGGTTTTCCTTCCCGCTAACACTACGTCGTTAATCCAGCCCATGGATCAGGAGTTGGTTTGCATCCTGAAGACTGCTTTCACCGCCAAACAGTTTCGGTTCCCGAACGACTTCACCAACACCAAGGATGAACTGCAGAACCTAGAGGGTGGCACCGATAGCGAGAGCGAAGGACGAGGAACACGAACAAGATTTGGCGGACCATGAAGTGTGGGTCAAGCAGTTCTGGAAGCTGTTTAACGTGAAGAAGGCTGTTGATTTCTTGGTGGAGGCATGGGGGCAGCTATCTATGGCAACGATTCGGCACGCGTGGCGTCATGTGTTGGAGGGTATCCCAGGTGGGAGGCAGAGGCAAGCGGTGGCTGGCGAGGCTCAGTCTGTTGCTGTGGCATTGGAGATTGCAAGAGAGGTTGCACAAAGTGTTAGAGCTGCAGGTTTCTCCGAGACCACCATGTAGGACATCCTGGAGGTAATCAGGCAACCTGAGGTGTCTGCGGACGAGATGTTGGAAGATGATGATGTCAGTGAGGTGTTACAGAACAACATGAGCAGAAACTAACACATCCTGATGTGAAGGAAATCATCGAGGTAGCTGAGAAATTGAAGTTCCTCCTTGCCAAAGACACAGGCAGTCATCGCTTCGAAGTGTCTAATAACCTTCTGTTGCAATCCCTGGAGCCCTATGTTCAGCTGTATCATGACCACATCAATGCTAGCCGCCAACAAAACATCACCGAGTTCTTCACCCGCCATCCACCACAACCAACCCAAGTCAGTGATAGTGAGGATATGGACTTCGAGGGGTTTGACGAGGAGGCCCTGCTATCCTCTGTAGTGGATAGAGATACAGGTGAGGGCCAGTAATCTGCCCTCTGCCTCGGAACCAACCCCCAATCCCTGTATGCCCAGCCATCTCTTCTACTAACGTAGGTGTTGAAAAACCTAATATTATTGATATTTCTCTTATATATTAATTGTGTGTGCATACCATCATAAAATTAAGATGTTATTTTTACTACAATATATATATATATATATATATATATATATATATATATATATATATATATATATATATATATATATATATATATATATATATATATATATATATATATATATATATATATAAATAGCACACAACGGTTGGTGGTCAGGTCAGATTAGTAGGGTCATTACCTAATACCTGACCATTGTGGACCTGGTCTCACCCTCCTCTGTATATATACACCTTGGTTTGTATTTCTCTCTCTAGTCTGTACTCACCCCTGAAGGTGTGAATTACATGAAAGCGCTTGGGAACTTCGTGTTTTCTTCTTTCCTTGTGGTTATCAGCATATACCTAGATCACGCGCACCTACAGTGATTTACTTGATTTATATATATATATATATATATATATATATATATATATATATATATATATATATATATATATATATATATATATATATATATATATATATATATATATATATATATATATATATATATATATATATATATATATATATATATATATATATATATATATATATATATATATATATATATATATATATATATATATATATTGAATCCATGGTGAAAGTCGAAAATGCTTAAATAATGCATAGAAAATCTAACCTAACCGGTAATTTTTCAGGATTAACCCGCGGGTGAAATTGAGCGAAAACGAATATATAAACGCAGGATTTTCACTGTTTTTTATAGTGGACACTGTTGTAGTTCGTGCAAATGTGTTAAAAAATGGATCTTTCTAAAATTAACGAAACTTAACATTTGTTGGTATGAAAAGCAGACCTAAGCAACCTAACCTAACCTAACTTCTTACTCAGAAAGAACTTATTATGATATGGTGAAATTTGAGACATAATCTGTACGTGAATTGATATGGTGGCATTGGCGTTTATGCAGCCTGGGCGGCTGGGTGATTTATTGTGATGGCGAGAAACGTCAAGTGTTGAGGAAGTGATAAAAAAATTTGTTTCCGGTCTGAAAGCACAGGGATTCCCGCAGTGTGGACAGTCTCTATTTAAAGGAACAATGCCGTGGGCTTTGAACAATTGAAGGGTCTCGTTGTCTTTATCCCTAAATTCGCAAACTACATCCATATAAGCCAGGCAACCTAACCTTACCTTACCTAACCTAACCTACCGTACCTGAACATGCCTTACCTAACCTAACCTAAGCTTAAAATGCATAATAGTGGCATCCTAAGTTACATTTATATATCATCAACAGATTTATAGATATGTTGGAGAAATTATTATAAAATATTTGCTATCTCTGCAAATGTATTTTTTAAAAGAGAAATTAAAAATTTTCTAGAAAACCTAATTGTTTGTCATGTGTGTTGCAGCTTTCTTAGGTTAGGTAGGGTAACATTAGGCTAGGTTAGATAAGGTAAAATAAGATTAGGTAAGGTTAGGATAAGATACATTTCACTAATTTTGCTGCCAAAAAAAATTATTACTGAATGTATTGGATAAAAAAAAATATGAACATAATTCTTTTTTTAAGAAAATAAAATGCTTTACCACTTAATTTTTACCCACCTTTTTTATTAGATTTGATGAACTTAGATTGGGTTAGGTCTTATTTTACTCTGAGTCATGGGTACTTATTAGGTACTTGGCAGAATAACTTGTTATAACTTGGTTCTAGCAATGGCGGAGTCTAGGCAAAAATGTTCACCTGACTTCATAATTGGCTTTCATTACTGAAGGATATTTACAGCTACCGGTATACCACATTAATAAGGTCTATCTGCAAGTTTACTCAGTCATAAAAAAAATTTGTACCATGTGGACAATAAAATTTTATTTTGGTACAAATTACTTGAAAAGTTGTAAGAAGACAAAAGATGCTTCTCTTCCATTCCGCAAGAAATAGAGACACTCAAGCCTCTTCTTATAGCAAAAAATGAACAAAAAAGACAAACTGTAATATCGTATTTTAGTATGTTGATGTACAAAACATTTTCTTCATTATTCTTTTTATAAAACAAGTCTAACAACCATTATTAAAACATATGTTATTAATTTTTCTTATGCAATTTGGAAATAGCAACTGCTATATCTGGGTTGAGCGTGTTAGAGCACCTAAGGAGGTCCTGTAAGTTATGGGCTAGATTACAGGTTCACTTACAGAGTCCGCTGCCAAATATTTGTTTCGAGTACTGTATACCGATCGGAGACTGTAAGTCCAGTTACGGGGTAAACAAAGAGATATAGTCTGTAAATGTTTTTGAGTATGCGGCCCCAATTCAGTACTATTAATATTATTACAATCATCATTATTATTATTATTTCCAACAGGTTAATAGCCATGTCTGCAACTGAGGAAGGACCTGAGCTACAGGAACATTTAAGTTCAGATTCTACAGCAAACAAAATTAAATCTAGATACACCGATGTCATGAAAAGACAAGAACAACTTGAAGCTAAATCATCTTTTTCCAGTGAGTGATTACAAGTGGAGTTTTCAGTATTTAATCGTATATTTTTACCTACTTCAGCTTTTGATTGACTATACTGTAGTGAAGAACCTGAGAAATGTCAAGAGACTGGAGTAATCTAGGAGGAAGGGGTGAGGATAAATATCGGCATCTCCCTTGGAAATTATCCACTGCAAACGAATGATATCTCTCATGCAACTACCAAGAGTCCATAGGAACTCCCAAAAATGGCCCTCTACCAAACTCCCAAAAGTAACCCAATACTGTACACCCTCTGCACATCTCCCATGAACTGCCTCCAGCACAAACTTCGAAAATTGACAAAATACAAAACTCTCAAAACACCTGAAAATTGTCCCCCAGAAGATTCTAAGAGTTATTTGAATACCAGACTATTGAATTCAAGGGGGTTGGGGTGATATCATGTTAGGATAATTTTCAGGACCTCTGCCACATGCAGTACTTTAAACATTCTAAGGCAATCAAGTGATATTGATTCATTAATTTCCTTTCAGGACTAAAGAATTTAATCTTAGAAACTGAGTGTTGACAAAGCTCACTTCTAGTCATTCACATCATTGAGGCTTACGGTGTTGAAAGGAGTTTCGATAAATTCTGGATTGCCAGTTACAGAGAGAGGTATGGCAGTACATAGTGTTTTCACCTGTTGCACTGCCATTCGGTAATCATGGCTAATCCATGCAAGCATTGAAAATAACCATAAATTGACTGTTATATGTCAGAGGCTGGAAGGAGGGTAGTGTAAACTAAGAGTGAAAGAATGCTGTGTATTCACCTCTATACTAATGTAAGAAATATAATGTATGTAAAATTACAATGGAATTGGACTATATTGTGTGGAAGGTAACTTGCAATGCAGGGTAGTGCAATAATTGAGGGGCTGCAAGATTTACAACTGGTAAAATCAGTGATGTGCACACAGAGACCCTGATATATATTAATTCAAACTAAGTACAGTGAACCCTCGAAGATCCGGACAAAAAGGGGGGACCACCTGTCCGGAAAAGCCGATATTCCGAATCTTCCGGTGAATGTACAAAATGTATAAGAACGATAAATACTGTACAGTAATAAAAAAAAATAATACAGTACAGTACTATTGGGGTTAGTTATACAGACCCGGATTTATTTATCAGTCATATAGAGGTAGTTTAAGTTTTTCGCTTATAAAATGTCACTGAATTGGGGAGATTATAACTTACATTGCTGGAATTCTTGTAAGATGGTGATTAATTTTAACATAAATATGCTATAGTTTGCACTAGACATAAATTTTTTAGTAATTGATACAAAAATGTACTACACTAATGGACTTAAATGTTTATCTCTTATGAAAAATATATGATGTCTTTATTCAAATTATTCGCTGTCTTGCAAGGATTCCAGCAATGCAAGTTATATTCTGCTAATTTTAGTCTGTGACATTTTATAAGCTAACAACTTTAAGCCTAAAACTACCTTCATCCTGTTTAGGGAATGCTTTTTAGGGAGGCTTCTTAGCCCAGAACCCCAAATTTTTTGTCCAAATCTTCTGAAATCTGGACTTACCGGTTCTGAATCTTCGAGGGTTTACTGTAGCATGATAATAAAGAACATAATTATCTTTTGAATCTGATCTCTAGTACTGTATACAAAATTTCCCAAATCCATGCAAATAAAATGTCCTTGATCCCAACAGAGGCATTCAGCAGCCTGAAGAACTCTGAATTCTATGAGGAACCACCTGAAGGAGTGAAAGTCCCAGGAGGAAATGCTCCCAAGTCTCTAGGGACAGGTGCAAAACCTTCCTCTAATAACTGTGTCATTGTTAGCTCAAGGCAAGTAAGTGAAATAAAGATGCTTCTCTTACTCTTGTACAATATTGTAGTTCATATATTATTTTCCTTTAGTAAGAACAACCTTAATCTTAAAACTGAGGAAAGTAATACATGTACTGTGATATACTGTACACACACTACACTTAGCAGTATAAGTATTTCATTTAAACTTTTAAACTTATCCATTAAATGGGATAGTATTGTAGATAGTTCTCGATTTACAGAGCTTTGGTTTATGAAAATTCCAAGTTATGAACAAATATTTTTTCCATGCTGTAGTTTATGAATGAAACCCCGAAGTCATGAAAAGTTTGTTACCATTTTTTTTTCTTGAATAATAATGAAAATACAGTATGTTAAAATAGTGCAGTTTTTTATAATTGTACCAATATGATTACCCTTTTCACTAATTTATTTCATTACAGTTTTCTCAAGCACTGGCAGTGTTATTAAGTGTATGTTTATTCCTGGCTTATGAATACCGGTACACTAATGTATACGTAAAAATTTTGAATAAAAAACATATTTCTCCCTTTCTTGAAATTTCTGTTTTCTCTGATTCACCCAATACAGAAGTGTGAGCAGAGGATAGATAAATAGATACATTGATTTTCTGACTTTACATTGCAGAGAGGCAACCCCATACTAAAATCAATTCGAAATGTCCCATGGGAGTATGGGGAGATAGTGCCAGACTATGTAATGGGGAGTACCACCTGTGCTATGTTTTTGAGTCTTCGTTACCACAACCTCAACCCAAACTACATTCACGACCGACTCAAGCAACTCGGCTACCAGTACGAGCTGCGTGTTCTGCTTGTGCTTGTAAGTAAAGAGAAGATGCTTAAGGGTATTAGTATATAAATAATGCTTTTGCTTGTGTATAAAGAGATGTTGAAGTGTGTGATTCATATGAACAGCTTGGTGGAACAGTTTGGTGTTCAGCCTAAGGAAGCATTATGAAATGTTTCCTCTTTCTTCTATTGACTATTACAGTACAGTAATGGTATTTTTCTTAGATATGCTACTTGCCAACTCCTTTGTAGTGTAAAGTACACTGTAAGATGACTCTTAATACAATGCTCCCTCATAAATCTTTGAGGTTCAGTTTCTTAAAATTATGTAAATTGTAAACAAGCAAATATCTTCTTATGGAAAATAGGGGTTAGATTCATGCAGCTCAAAAATATATACTACACCCCTACCCCCATCCCCAAATATACCATTAAACAAAAATAGTGTAAGGGGTAGAATACAAATATGTGTAAGAGGAGAGTTTTTTTCTTTAAAATTTTATTGTTTTCTGTTTCTCTTTTCTGTTAGTTTATACTTCATATCTTTCTGTAATTTCTTTGGTTATGTTTCCAAGTTATTTCTATGCCTTATATAATCTTTAATTTTCTTAGTTGTATTATCTTTTATTTTCTGTTTCACTTGCTAATTCTTTTCTAAGTTATATTCAAAGTATTTCTTCAATGTTTTTATTTAGTTAGGTATTTTAATATTCTTTACCTTTCTTTTCTATATTTATATATATTTCTTTCAATGTCATTATTTGTTTCTCATATTTTCCTCTTACTTCTTTCAGTATTTGACAGTGCTTAGTTATATTCTATTCAATGGATTAACCTGGGAAAACCATATCATTCTTTAAGACCACCTATTAGTATAATTATTATACTTACACAGTAGACTGCCACCACCCAGGCATTTATTAGAATATTACTGGTGTCATTAAAAGTGTTAGGTAGTGTAATAAACGAGCTTTTAGGCACGTGGGTTACAGTGTTTATTTTCTGAGAAGCAATTGTTAGAAGGGAAGGAGCGGTGATACTCACAATACTGTAGACTAAATCTATATTTATTTAGATCAAATGTGAATGGTATGACAATTTGAACCTTTATCCACAACAACAAAAATAAGTTCAATCACTGATTACTGTAACACTCAGACAAAATTGGACCACTAGGTCTTACTTTATAAGTAACAAAATACATCTTAATTAACATTCAACATTTTATACCTACTTAAGGGTATTATATTATTTCTTTGACAATAAAGATGGTCATTTTATTCGCTTGTTAATAGCACAGATATTAATACATTAATTATAACATTATGTTATTTATGAATGAACAACATGGAACATATACCAGATCTCAGTTGGGATTACACATTGATGGTTTACTCACAACGCATAAAACGAACTCTAATACAGTTAGGTTGGGATATATCGTGAGATAAGGTCCAACGATGTTTGCTATATACTAAATCGCGACACAGTAAAGCCTCGAATAACCATGTTAATGTGTCCTCCAATATTGTGGTGTAAGGTGAATAGTCTTATCGCGAATCATTAATTACCATTAAAATAAAGCAATAATAATGAGATGTGTTCCCAAGTGTGACCTTTTCATATCTTTTGTGTGGCTTTTTACCCTTTTCCCCCCAAAACAACACAATTAATGAAAATTGCAAACTATATTCTTTAAATAATGTTTCTGAAAGCATCTTATACAATATAAATGAATAATACTATGGTCACACAAGAGGAGATGGGATGCCATTGTTTTCGTTTGTGTTTACAGCCGGGACAATAGTTCTACATGAAAAAATTAAGAAAATAAGACCCTGGTTGTAGGTGTAATGAAATTAATGTAAAAAAATGAATACAGTCAACCCTCACTTTACGCGGTTAATTCAACCCACAGGGTACCGCGGAAAGTGAGAAACGCGTAAAGTGAACAATATAACATATGGGATTAATTGAAATAGAGACCGGGCCGACCCCCAAACTCCACTTTTTGACGACACACAACTATGTTGTAGTAAAAATATTATCTTAACTTTATGATGGTATGCACACACAATTAATATAGAAGAGGTTAGGTTAGGAAAAATAAAGGTTAGGTTAGGAAAATAAAGGTTGGGGTTAACACTTACGTTAGTAGAAGAGATGGGTCGGCGTACGGGAATGGAGGCTGGTTCCGAGGCAGAAGGCAGGCTACTGGCCCTCAGGTGAGTCACCATCACTGTCATCCACACTTGTCAGGGCCTCCCTGACAAATCCCTCAAAGTCATCTTCACTGTCTCTACCTCTGTCACTATCACTGGCTTGGGCTGGCTGTGGTGGGTTGCGGGCGAAGAACTCTGTTATGCTTTGCTGACGGCTGGTGTTTATGTTGTCGTGATAAACCTTGAAGTAGGGCTCCATAGTCTGCAACAGCTGGGTAGTGAAGATTTCATACCTGTTTGCGTCAGGGTCGTCGGAAAGGAGGAGCTTGACTTTCTCGATACACTCGATGGCACCCCTAACATTACTATGGGATAAGCGGTGTTCTTCTTGGGATGACGCACCACCTGCCTCTTCACTGACGTCATCATCATCTACCATCTCGTCGGTAGTCACATCAGGATCCCTTATCACCTCCAGGATGTCGTCGTTGGTGGTCTCGGAGAAGCCTGCAGCTGTAACACTCTGCGCAGCTTCTCTGGCAAGGTCCACTGCTACTGCAACAGTCTGAACCTCACCAGTCACAGATTGACTCTGCCTAACGGCCGGAATGCCATGCAACACATGTCTCCATGCGTGACGAACAGTTGCTACAGACAGCTGATACCATGCCTCCACCAAGACGTCCACAGCTTTCTTGATGTTGAATATTCTCCAGAATTGTTTTAAAAGCACTTGTTGCTCTGCCAACTGTTGATCCTCGTCGTCTTCGCTCTTGCATCGGTGGTGGTGTCACTCAGGTTACGCAACTCTTCCCTGGTGTTGGTGTAGTCGTTCAGGAGCTTGAATTTTTTAGTAGAGAATGCAGCTTTTACACTACAGATTAACTCTTGGTCCATGGGCTGTAATATAGACGTAGTGTTGGGAGGAAGGAAGACCACTTTTACGTTGGGGTGACGATCTAACAGTAGGGGCGAGTGTCCTGGTGCGTTGTCCAGCAGCAACAAAATCTTGAATGGCACATTCTGTTGCTCACAGAATTTCTTTACATCGGGAACGAAACAGTCATCAAACCAGGAGAGGGACAGTGTAGAGAACATCCACTCCTTACGTGCGGTCAGCTAGTGGACATTTAGCTTGGTCATGTCCATGCTCTTGTAGGCGTGCGGCTTGCGTGCTGTGTGGATCACCGATAACTTGAGGTTACAGGTACCGGAGGCATTGGTGGTAAACAGGATGGTGATGCGCTCCTTCTGCAACTTCCGGCCCCGACACTTGCTGGCATTCTTCACAACGAAGGTCTTGGAAGGTAGCTTTTTCCAAAAAAGACCAGATTCGTCCATGTTAAACACCTGGTCGTCGGTGTACTGTCCTTCCTCCATAATCTCACGTAAAAATGGAGGAAATTCCCGAGCTGCAACACGGTCAGCACTAGCTTCTTCACCACCAATGTTGATATTGGTGATCTTGTTCCTCTTCTTAAACCTCTGTAACCACCCAGAGGAAGCATTAAGGGTTTGGGCTCTGTAATTCCCATCTTTTGTGACACTGCAGCATACAGTTAACGTGCGTACTCCTTAACAGAGTGCGTGTCCACCGCCATGTTCCGTCGCGCCTGATGCACCAAGTAGCTCACAAGTAATTTTTCTGTCTTGAGAAGCACCTGGTTGTGGAAATACTTGATCATAGAAGTACCTGTAGACTTTGTGATGTTCATGTGCTCCTTTATCTTGGCTGCATCCTTCTTTATTGTTCGAATCGTAGATTCGTTCACACCATGCTGGCGTGCCAAATCAACCTGTCTTGTTCCTTTCTCCATCTCTTGGATGATCTTGTACTTCACCTCGTAGCTAGAGGAACGTCGTGTCTTCTTTGGCTTAGGGCGGCTGGGTCCAGGTAAGGAAAGGTTTCTCTCTGGGGGCGGTGGTCCGGCAGAAGCCATTTTACAGAACAATGGATGTACGATTACACGGTGTGGCCTGGAGGGATGAAACTGCCGCGGCTAGGTCAAGCGTCGTCTTTCCTCCCTCCCTCCCTACCCCGGGTGGACACGTCATATTACTTTAAACCAATTACAGCTAGCAGCGGAGGGAGGTAGGGATGCATGGCCACTCACAGTCCGATACGTCATATGACGTCACTGATAACGCAACAGAGACATGCACTGCGCAACCTTACCACGCGGCTTGCCCAGGTGGAGGCGGGAGCAGGCGGGAGGGGCGAATCTAAAAATAGCGTCGAGCCGGACACTCTCCGTGTAAAGGGGTACACGCACCGCGGAATGTGAGCATCCCGGGTTTTGGCAGGGTACCGCGTAAACGTGGAAACGCGGAATGTGGGACCGCGTAAAGTGAGGGTGATCGACTGAGATTTCTGCCTACAAGACGGAATTTGAACAAAAAAAAAATCAGCCCAAAGTTAGGGGGTCGTCTTAAGCACCAGAGATAAAATTCTTACCTCTTAAATTTTGCGGTTTAGCGTGTCAAGAGTGGTGATGGAAACATGGTAAACCACTCACAAGGTCCTACCACTAATTATTTTATACTGAAACTTACATTTGGGAAGCTGGATTAAAATGAAGATTACCGGTATATTAAAATAATAAAAATGTATTATAAACCAGTCTAACATACCGTAAAACAACAATATACCCCGGTAATAAACACAGCTGCTATCATCACCCCCCCCCCCCATTTGCCAGTGACGAGAAAGGGAAAGCGACCTTGACAGTGACCGCCTGTGGCTATTTTTAGCCGTCCTTGTGTTCGGAGGTGGTCAGTAATGCATATCTGTATATTTACTGATCATAATACTTATCTCCTATAAATAATTAATTTAAAATTAATTTTTTTACAAAGAATATTCAGTAAA